GTCTTTTTAGCAATTCATCCACAGAGTTCTTCTGTACCATTTGGCCCCGGTTATTTTATCCGTTCCCCTTCCCAGTGGCCTTAGTCCCACTTATGCATTCTCCCACATGGACTTGCCTAATATGCATGTAGGAAGGGTCTAATGATTTGTAGCTCATCACATCTGGAGGGTTCTGGGTTTGGGAAGATTATATTTGCAACAATATCTGGGATTTCAAATAAATTAATCATAAATGGTGGTGTTGGGGGGAGGTGATGTGCAATCCTTTCTCCTTTGAGAGCATGTCAATCAAAAAGCCCCTGATCAGCTCTGCAGTTACCAAGAGAGAGAGAAATCCCATGCAATCAACATTTCTATAGTCTTGTCATTATTCTATATCCTTTCACCTGTTTTTTCATTCTTCCTAGCTGCTCACTCTCCCCTTTGGACACTTCGCAAAGGTGTCTGGTCACTTTAAGCAATCTCCATAACTGTATGCTACATCATAATTATATGCTACATCAAGGAGGGCAACTAAAATGATCAAGGGTCTGGAGAGCAAGCCCTATAAGGAGCGGCTTAAAGAGCTGGGCATGTTTAGCCTGAAGAAGAGAAGGCTGAGAGGAGACATGATAGCCATGTATAAGAGGAAGTCATAGGGAGGAGGGAGCAATTTATTTATTTATTTATTTATTACTGGTACTTTTACCCCGCCCTTCTCAACCCCCAAAGGGGGACTCAGGGCGGCTTACAGAAAAGGCAGAATTCGATGCCTATACACAATACATAATATACAAAAATATAAAAGAACAATATACAAAAAGTGCAATTAAAACTATAAACACAATAAAAACATCAACAACTGGTACCTGAGACATTGTATAAACATCATATAAAACATCCTATAAAAGTCAATTCTTATAATCAGCGTTTCGTTTCCAGAGTTCCACATGACCAATCCGTTAGTCATTTCCTAGCCATCAATGGAGTTCTTCTTTATTTACCCGCTTGTCCGAATGCCAGGTCCCAGATCCATGTTTTTAGTTTTCTCCTGAAGGAAAGGAGCGTAGTTGCAGATCTGATTTCCCCGGGGAGAGAGTTCCAAAGCAAGCTTGTTTTCTGCTTCCCTGGAGACTAGGATGCAGAGCAATGGCTTCAAACCACAAGAAAGGAGATTCCATCTGAATATGAGGAAGAACTTCCTGACTGTGAGAGCTGTTCAGCAGTGGAACTCTCTGCCCCAGAGAGTGTGGTGGAGGTTCCTTCTTTGGAAGCTTTTAGAACAGAGGCTGGATGGCCATCTGTCAGGGATGTTTTGAATGCAATTTTCCTGCTTCTTGGCAGGGGGTTGGACTGGATGGCCCATGATCTCTTCCAACTCTATGTTTCTAACTGTGAACCACCCTGAGTCCCCTTCAGGGTTGAGAAGGGCAGTATACAAATACTGGACATAAATAAATAAATAAATCCGTTTCTGGTTTGTTGTAGGTTTTTCGGGCATTAAACTTGAGTAAATACGATAACTTTCCAACACATGAGATCAGGATAAAATTCATCCAGTAAATATATAATAGGCAGTGATCTCCATCTCTCACGTTGGATAAGTGCCAGCCCTTGGCTCTCTTCACCCAAACAATGACTATGGCATTTTAGATATTACTTGCTTCCAAATATGAAAGTGCTTTCCATTCTTCTCCTTATAGGAGAGCAAAATCTATATTGTGCTAAATTTATGGTAGAAAAGAGAAAAAAATGACAAGATATAAATTCCCCATTTACTGTTGGAACAGTAGAATTAAAATAGCGATATTTCACAATATTTAATAAGGGAAAGTGAACTTTAGATGTAGGTTCTGCAGGATTTTTTATTTTCAGCCCCCAGAGTCTATGACCTGCAGCATCTGGGAATCACAAACATCTGGGAGATTAAAAGATAAGAGCCACTGATCAGTGGTGGCTCTGAACTTTTAAGGAGCTAACCCACGATGGTGAACCTAGCCCCAAAATAGCTTTGGTACCTTGGATAGCTCCTTTAAAGTTCAAAGTATAACGCAGAATGGATTTCCCGCCCCACTGATATGGAAGCTGCCAGCTGCCATTGGTATTGCAGTTTATCCCAATGACACTTCTGATCTCACTGCCTTTGAGGATGCTTGCCATAGATGCAGGCGAAACGTCAGGAGAGAACAACCTACAACAACCCACTTCTGAACTGTTCATCTCAATTCATTCAGCCTTAAGGTTGATTTAGTTCTACAAAGTATTATAGCTTCAAAGACAGTAACCTCCCTGTTTGTAGTACTTGCAAGGAACTCTTGCTTCTGAAGTTGTTGAAATGCTTTCCTCTGTTTGTGAGTGAAAATTCCCTGCTTTGTTTCTGCAGCCCCAGGAAAAGTTCACAGGCATCTCTGAAACCACAGGCAGACATGTGTGGAGGGTTAGAGGAGAACGAAGGCAGCCATGTGGCATGTCTCTCCCCCCCCCCCTCCAGCCTTTACATCGTTTTTTTTCCATTGATATTCCTCATCTCCAGCTTCTAAGTAGATCACCAGTTAAAAGCTTTAGCTGTCCCCCTTTTCTACCAGGAGAGCAGCTTGTATTTATATGGAGGGCTTCACCTGTTTGTTCTACACGCATGAGAATAGAACTTCAGATTTTCCTTCCTGTTCCGCTTACTCAGCAAATGGTCAGATTTTTCAAGCCACTCGCTCTGACACTTTATAAAATGAGCTCTGACAGCAAATTGCAGTGCTATAAATATTGTTGGATTGCAGCTCCCATCCTCCCTTACACTGCCTATGTTGGCGAAGTCTACTGGGTGCTGTAGGAACATGGCCTCATGCTGCATGCTGTGATGATCAGTTCATAGTAAGGGAAGAACACCTTCTCTCCAGATGTGCTGGGCTGTAATTCCCAACAACCACAGACAGGAGTTAAAGATTATGATCCTTGTAGTTCGGTACATCCAGAGGTCTCCAGAATGGAGAAGAGTGGATATTGTCTATTGAATGTTGCCTATGATATTGAGAGCAACACGACTCCTTTCCCAAACTATCTAATGCAGACAGGAATCTCAAAACAAAACAAAACAAAATGATTTTAATGGTTGGTTATGGATTTTTATAATGTTATTCTAAATGTTTTTATGGCATCGAATTGCTGCCAGTTTGTAAGCCACCTTGAGTCACCTTTGGGCTGAGAAAGGTGGGATAGAAATATCGTAAAATAAATAAATAAATAAATAACAAAAAACAAACAAAACCAAAAACAAACAAAACGAAACCCACAATTTTTGGAATTCGTTTCACCCATCTCATAGCCCAAAGCATATAAAAGCCAAACACTTAAGTTCTTGGCAAACCTTCCATTGAATGCAATGAGTTCGTGGCTTAACTATGCCTTATACCCTATTCGAACTATAACACACGAAAGGCAATATAATACAGTGGGCAGAGTGTTGGAGAGGCCCTTGGGAGCTGTAACTTTTAGTCCACAGGGTAGGAATTATGCAGTGTTATAAATCTGCAGTTCCCATTATCCATCACCATTGGCTAACTAGCTAGGTCTGCTGGAATTTGTAATCCTACACAAGCAGTCTCTAAGTTACAAGCATCGGAATACAAACAATTCATAGTTAAGAACGGGGATGAGACAACAAGAAGTGAGAGAAATCTACCCCTCCAAAGTGAAATTCACTCCTGAAAGAAGCTTTATCACCAATCCTTGTTTCCACAACAAGCCAGATTTTTCAAAATAAAATTATCACAGGCACAGAAAGTGAGGTGACATCTTCTGAACAGTGGTACAGACAAAAAAACAAACAAACAAAAAAACCCACAAAAACAAATGGCAAAGGGGTGTTAACTCTTTCCTATGCTATCCAATACTAAAACATGTAAGTCGGAACAGGTACATTTTTTGAAGTGTAACTCCAGTCAAGTGTGTTTATGTATTCACGCGTGTGCACGTTTTGGGACCAATGCTAAGAGGTCCCAAAGTGCATGCGGGCGCACACACACACACACACTTGACTGGAGTTATACTTCAAAAAAAAATGTACCTGTTCTGACCTACATACAAATTCAATTCAAGAGCAAACCTACAGAATTTATCTTGTTCGTAACTTGGGGACTGCCTGTGCCTTATTCTCAGTCCTCTTATTCTTCCTGGAATTAACTGGGCTAGTCGCACTTTTGCAACCTAAACACATGACTGTTGAGAGAGTGAAGTGGGGAAGAGGAAAGAGATGTATGGTGGTTTTGGTAAGCTGGAGGAAATATGGGGTTTAAGTATAACTCAAAAAGAAAGAAAACAAACAAATGAGCTAACTACATTCATACACACCCCTACCCCCTTTTTACCTGGATGTGCTGTGGTCTTATTACTGTGTTTTTATGTTTGCTTTTTAACTGTTTTAGTTGGTTCCCTTAATTTTAATTTTTTTTTGTTCTATATACATATATAGATACAAGAGAGAAAAAGAAAGCTCTCCATTTTCTCCTAACTTATATTGCAAGCTACTTTGGGTCTTAAAAAAATGCTATTAAACAACCAAACGAACAACTCCTCCCCACCCACCCACCCATTGCCGCCTGTGAGTGGCCCAGTGCAGAGCAAATATCTTATCTGTAGATCAAGACTTTGCCAACCTACTGCTTTCACAATGTGCCACCTGATTATTACCATTACAAAAAATAAATATAAAATAAAATCCTAGACCAATGTGGTTAAAGTGTATCCCTCTGATGGCTAGGGCAAATGGAGTTGCAATCTAGCAACATCTGGAGGGCTACATTTTGCCCACTCATGCCTTAGACACACCCTGCTGAACTCTGCCTTTGCAACAACCTCAGCTCTCTAGGACCTGTCTGCAGCCACGACCCCTCCGGCCTGCATGGACTAGCCTGAGATGCCCTCAGAGGTGCTCCCCTGCCAACACACCCTGTTATCCCCCTGGTTGCCCCTCCTCAACCTTTTTTTTTTACAACTACAGCTCTTAACAAATAAATTATCCATCTTACCTTTTGGACCATTTGGCCGAAGGCCTTCCAAAAGGTCTCTTCCAGAGCACACCGTACAACTGTACTTTGGTGCTGATATCCAAGGCATCTGAATCCGCAGGGTCCATTGAGGGAGAAGGAGAGACAGAGTTAGATTTTGAAGTGAACATTGCTGTGAGACGGATTTGGGGATCTAATTCTCGGTATTCCACACAGCTCAGGGAATCAGATTAAATGCAATGAACCAGAAAGATGCAGCTGCTCCAGGGAGGGAAAGGGAGAGAGACCGAGGCTATGCTTTGAATCAATAACTGGACTGCTCAGCGCTCAGTCAATATTCATATCCCCAATGCAGAGGGCTTTCTTGTTCCAGATTGGCATCTGATGCACTAAAAGAAGAGAGCCTCCCAAATCAGCTCAGAAGAGAGTTTCTTTCATCAGATAGAATGAGGGTGTTCAAATCAGAGCAGGCCAAATGCAAAGTTTGTACGTCACCATGAGCACTCGCATAGTACAGCAGAAGTAGGTATGTGCTTAAAGTGAGCATGCACCTAATTTTATTCTATAAGAGGTTGGGGACTTAAATGCATTATACTGACAATCCAGGAATACAGTGAGAGCCAGGGCCAAATAATACACCATAATACTTCTCCCCCACTATAACATCAGGTAAGAAATAAGCAGCCATTTCACATCTCAAAAGATAACTTTGTTATTGAGCCATGGTTACCTTCCCCCGCCCCAAAAAAAAATTATATTTCATCAAGGCTTCACAAACAAATATATATCCCCCCCCCTTTTTTTTTTAATTAAAAAAGGCTTTTCTGGCAGTTTGGAGTTGCACAAGTTCATGGCTTCAGAAGATTAAGAATCAACCCAATAGCAGCTATACCCCCATAAACTACGGTATATCATATTTAACCTTTTAATTAATTGCATCTACTTTATGATTTTGTGTAACTTGTATCTTTAAACTGTGTACTGTATCTATTTTCTTATATATGAAATATATATAAATTGCTTCTTAGAAATGTATCAAAATGTAACTTAGAAACAGCCATCCCTCTTTAATGCTGTTCAGATAATCTCCTGGGAATTGAAAAGGTTGGCTGAATCCCTCTGGCTATTTCCCAAGCCAGATAATTATATGGATGGCATGTTTTTAATGGTAATTATAATATTTATATGCATTTTAACTCTATTTTTAATTTTTTAATTTTAACTTAAATGTATTTTATTGTTTGTTCTCTAAAGGCATCATATGGTTGCCATTTGTAAAGCCACCTTGAATCCCCTTCAGGGTAGAGAAAGGCGGGATATAAATAGGGTAAAATAATTGTGTGTATGCAAAGGTAGGTGACTTCCTTTGTCACTCAGATAAACCCAAAATGAAGCTGAGAGCCTGCTGCTCTTTCATGAAAATAGAAACTTAGAATAGGTGCATTTGTTAACTCTTTTATTGACAGCAAAACTCTTGATCACTTCAGATCGACACCTTTGTCCCTTGAGTCTTGCACTTTTGTTTCCTAAGATCCATATCTTTGGCACAGAACCTTACATTTGAGCTAATCAAAAGCTCATCAACATATCTTTACCATGTGTTTTCCCCGGACTCTGCCCTCTAAGAGGTGCCTCTGCAGCTGATTCTGACCAATCCCCAGTTTCCATTCTCCCTCTCAGCCAATCTCAGCACAGATTCTAGCCAGCCTATTTTCTGGCCAATCAGGGGAGGGAGCGAGAAGTTTGAATAGCTGTCAGAACTGGATGAAATGTCTTGTATTTCTCTGTATGTTTATTTAGTACATTTTGAAGCATCTTACTTGTACTTGCAGTCCTTTGGGCCAAATTGTATTAAACCTCTGTAGCTTGTTTTCAACCTGGTGAGTTGGTTTCTCTGTTCTGAATGATTTGGTTTAGCATACACTCACCAGGCATGAATCCTCTTAACTGCAATCTTAGTTAAATCACCACAACTTGGCAGAAGTAGGCATGTTTTAAACACACAAATACTCAGTGAGAAGAAGGAGGGTGCTCATATGCCCAAAAAGTAGGCATGGTTCCCAGTTGGCATTTTTCAAGCAGAATGGAAATCTTTAGATAAAGTTCACATGATGACTGTGACTTTGAAGATAGGGTCAGTATGTCTTTGCCTTGTTCTCAAGTGTATTGTGTGATCACTGGGTCAAGTAAAAGACATTTTGTGCAGGTCCCCACAGTTAATAGGAGGACACAAGGAGGAGGTAAAATAGAATAAAACAAGGATCCTTGAAGAGTGCAGTGGTGGATTCCTTTTAAAATTAAGCACTATCATTTTTTTAATAAAAAAAAACTTGAGATCCCAGCTATAATCCAGAAGCACTGCATTCCTATCACAACTTTCTGCAAGTTCAATTTCTGCAAAGCCAGCTCCCTAAAATGAAGGGACACATTTGTAAGCTAGTATGGGAGCCACAGGCTAAAGCCACCTGGTGCCTTGCCTCAATCCTCAGTTGTTTTAAATTATAATTGTCCTTCACCTTTAAATCAAATCTGACTTTTGCAGATTTGATTTAAAATATTCTAACAATCTCTAGTACTCCAGTGTGACTCTATGGTTAGCTTATTCCAGTCATGCTGGAGGTCCTAGGAATTTAGGAATCTCTAGGTCCTCCAATGTAAATCTATGTTCCGCTTGCAATTGAAGTTGACCAGAGTCATTCTGGAAGACCTAGACATTCCTAGAAGAGTGTTCTTTCTGGTTAAAAGTACATTTTTTTTTCATTTTCAGAGGGTCCTGAACCCCAGCTGACTGTGTATACCTCTTATAGAACCTGACCATTGATGATGTTGGCCAGACTTGATAGGGGTGGTAGTACAAAACAGGCATAGGGCACAGGGTTGTTTATTTATACACTGCAGGGCATTCATGCTCTCAATGAGCTGCAGTAGCGCAATGGGTTAAACCCTTGTGCTGGCTGAACTGCTGACCTGAAGGTCTGTGGTTTAAATCTGTGAGATGGGGTGAGTTCCCATCTGTCAGCCCCAGCTTCTTATGCTGGGACATAGAGAGAAGCCTCCCACAAGATGGCAACACATCCGGGCATCCCCTAGGCCATGTATCTGCAGACGGCTGATTCTCTGGCACCAGAAGCAACTTGCAGTTTCTCAAGTCACTTCTGACACGATAAAAAAATGCTCTCAGTATCTCTTCCCTTTCAATAGTTCTTCTTGTACAGAGAGGCTCCACACTGTTTTGTACAAAACCATGTATTTCATTTGGCACATTTCCTTTGGGGTACACACTTCTCATTGATTTCTGGGCCCATAGTACCTACTTCACTTTTAAGTGTGTTAGCAACCAGTTACCATAAAAATCTTACAACTCCACTGTTGTTTCCTACAGAGGAAATTAATTTATCCAATAAAAGCTATGAGGAATTCCACATCATTCAGAAGGAGAGAAGCACGGAAAGAGTACATTTTGTATTTTGGTAACTGTTGTCTGCAGTGGTATGGTGAGGACTGTCTGAAGCTGCTCAAAGGCTAAAATGGTTTGTCACTGGGGAGTCATCTTTGGCTTCACACACATTAAAATGTTGACTCCTTTTTCAATCAAACCAATGTATCACTGGTTAAGCTGAATGACAGACACCTCCTTTATGCTTACTGTTAATAATGCAATATATATATATATATATCATTAAATCCTTTACTGCTTATTAAGAATAAAAAAGAGAGTCACAGCTTTTTTTGTATCTGATTTTGCTATTGTGGGAACCATGAATATGTTCTTTTGTCATCTGAGACCCCCAGTGGAGATGTTTTCTACATCTCAGAATATTTCAAGCATTGTTTCACATAAAAGAGCTCAGAAATCCAAGGACAACTTAAGAAATGTGTGTGTACCTTCATTTCTTTGACAGTTTCTACATGCATGTAATTTCAGTTCCTTTATAATTTGTAAACAATATAGAAATAAATGAAATAGTATCCATATATCCAGTGGGTCAAAGGAAGCTTGTGCAACCAGCCTTCCTCTTCTGTTACAGACTTCTGAGTGCTCAGAAAGACATTTTTGAATGTTGGGAGCTAGTCTGTTTCTAGTGCACAAGCAACTTCCATTTATCTTTTCTATCTGATTTGAGGCCATTCCCTCTTTTCACTGTCAGAGAGGGGAAAGTCCAGAGACATTAATATTGACTGTTGGTCAGGAGTTCAGTAAAGATGGAGACAACCTTATTTCTCTTAGAATGAGAGAGCAGATGCCTCTAAGACACAACCCAATGGAAAAAGTAGTAACCATGTGTTTTAGGCAAATTGCTACCATCTATTATAGGCTCCATATGTAGTTTGCCCAGGCACTTAGGATTAAACTTTTGCATAGTGGTGTAAATCACAGTCATGAGAGATTTACTTTTACATGGATTACATGACCAGGCATTTTCATTCACAGTGTATTTTTTCAATTCTTTCAACTCACTCCCCCACATCATGGGCTGCAGTTTTTTAGTCCAAATTAATTCCCAGCTCAGGCCTCTGAAGTGGGAGAAAGTAACGTACTGCTCAGCTACCATTTGCATGGATGCCACCCACAAGGTTGTTACATTTTAAAAGAGCAAAAAGTAGTACGTGGGAAAGCTGGAAATGTCCTTTGATCAGGTATAAAGATGATCAAAAATGGAGCCATAAATGTGAAAAGCTACAAAAGGTCACCCTGCCAGTGAACTGTCTGGTTAAGGGGGCTCCATAGCAGACCTGATTCATGCTCTTCAGAACAATCAGTGCTCCTTCTGCTTCCAATCAGACAGGAAGTCAGACAGTAACATCAGCAGAGAAAAACCAACCACGGTGCCAAAAATACTGTGCTGAAATGCTTCTTGAGCTATTTGATGTAAGAGACCAGAACACTGTTTTCCAATCTGCCAAGGACCAACTTTTATTCTCTTGGAACATACCACCCATTAATGGTTCAGTGACCAGTATTTTCAATGGCACTGCTATACAATAAACCCATTGCCAACTCTCCATACTGTTGCACTCAAAAGCATGCCGCTCAGCAACAAGGCCACACTTTCTATGCACAGTCCCAAGATTTACTTACCAGCTCAGAGAGAAACCTGGAACTGCTTCTCATTCTTTCCCTTAGTCTCCAATTCAAACTTGCCAAAATCTGTGTTTAGCACTTTTTTTGAAGCTCTTCTGATGTCTGAGGTGGAGTATCCATTGGCCTGGTTACCAGCATTAAAAAACTCTAAAATTAGAACAGCACAACAGAGAGGAAACAAACAAGGACATCTAATTACCTCTCAACAAAAGATTGCTCCAGGCACTGCCAGGCAATCAAATGCTAATCAAGGTGATCAGTTGAAACATTCACACCTAGCTCCAGAAGACAAGAGTCCTTTGTCCCACCCTGGTCATTTCACAGATATATAATCCCTTTTTCCTAGTTCAAACAGACCTCACTACCTCTGAGGATGCTTGCCATAGATGCAGGCGAAACGTCAGGAGAAAATGCCTTTAGAACATGGCCATATAGCCCGAAAAAACCTACAACCACCCAGTTCAGTAACTGATATGCCTTTCCCTGAGGCAGAGTGTATGACTTGCCCAAGTTCACCCAGTGGGTTGCCATAGCTGAGCAGAGATATGAACCCTGGTCTAGAGTTTTAGTCCAGTGCTCAAACCACTGTACTCACTTAGTCTTCCAAGTACTCAGTCACAGGGACGTAAAGTCAACTGCTAAACAAAAAGGCAAGACAAAGGATCCTGTAACGTCAAATTGCATAGCAATCTCTCAAATATGGGGTTTTTATTTTCTTTCCATAAAACAGAAGGCTTGTGACCAAGAACAATTTACAGCAACATTGTTTTGACCTGTAAATGGGAAGACCAGGTCTCCAGTTTAGAACAACCATTCTTGGTCACGGAAAACACAAGTCATTGGGTCAAGTTCTTTCCCATACTTTTTAACACAACCAGTCAAAAGTTACTACAGAAGTGACTTGTGGAGTGCCGCAAGGTGCTGCACTGGGCCCAGTGCTGTTCAATATCTTTATTAATTACATAGGTAAAGGTTTAGAAGCTGTGCTCATCAAGTTTGCAGATGACTGGAAGGGATAGCTAAAACTCCAGAAGTGAGAATCATAATTCAAAACAACCTCAACAGATTCGATACCTGGGCCAAAACTAACAAAATTAATTTCAGCAAGGAGAATTGTAGGATACTACACTTAAGCAGAAAAAAATGGAATGCAGAGTTACAGGATGGGCGATGCCTGGTTCGACAACAGTCTACGTAAAAAAGATCTTGGAGTCTTCATGGACAACAAGTTGAGCCAACCGTGTGATGCAGCAGCTAAAAAGCCAGTAGGACTTTGTGCTGCATCAAAAGGAGTATAGTGTCTAGATCAAGAGAAGTCATGCTGCCTCTCTATTCGGATTTGGTCAGACTGCACCTGGTCTGACCAAAATTTAAGAGAGAATTGACAAGTGGAACGTGTGCAGAGAGCAACTAAAATGATCAAAGGTCTGGAAACCATGCACTATGAGGAGTGGCCTAAAGAGTTGGGTATATTTAGTTTGCAGAGTAGACATGATACCCATCCATTTTTAAATATTTGAAAGGATGTCATAAGGAAGAGGGAGCAAGCTTGTTTTCTACTGCCCTGGAGACTAGGCCTCAGCAATAGGTTCCAACTATAGGAAAGGAGGTTCCACGTGAACATTTATTTATTTATTTATTTATTTACAGTATTTATATTCTACCCTTCTCATTCCGCAGGAGACGCAGGGCAGATTACAATGCACATATACATAGCAAACATTAAATGCCATTTAGACATACAACATATATAGACAAACACAGAGGCAATTTAACATTCCAGTTTTCCAGTATCATGAGGGTATGCTCGATTCTGGCCACAGAGGGAGCTGCCGCTTCACCGTCCACTTGTGACATCGGGTCCTTGATGGAATACTTCTACATTCCTGCGCACACTGCTGGAAGGTTTTATGGTGACTTAAATTAGTTAAATTAGCCTCCCTGCATAAAGCAGTACCTAAATTTCCTACTTGACAGATGCAACTGTCTTTCAGGCTGCATAGGTCAAGATTATGAATGGCCAGCTCACTCCGCCCTGGGTTGGCTTCGAACTCATGACCACTCAGTCAATAGTGATTTAATGCAGCTGGCTACTAACTAGCTGCATCACAGGTTGGTCCTTAGGAAGAACTGACTGTGAGAGCTGTTCAGCAGTAGAACTCTCCTTGGAGGCTTTTAAACAGAGGCTGGGGGACTATCTGTTGGGAGTGCTTTGATTGCATTTTTCCTGCATGGCAGGGGGTTGGACTAGATGGCCCATGTGGTCTCTTCCAACTATTATTAATTCTGATTCGAAGAGGTTATGGAAGCATTCCATTTTTTCTTGCTTAAACAAGAAAAAAAACAGACTCCTTGTTTTGGGTCTATTACTCTTAGTAACTCATTTTGATGGGGATATGAGATGTCAGCCTTGGTAGCCACTTCCGGGGTCTGAAACCTGTCGATGGAAACTAGGTAAGACTCTTCCTTCTTGTCCTTCTGTGGTATACTGAGCCTTTTCATTCATATGCTTTCAACATCTAAGTTTGGCTGTTCTGCTGAGTGTTTGGTCTTAATTGTGTTTGGCTTTCATTACTTAGCTCGCATCAGTTCTATTTTGTAGATTTTTAAAATCAATAAAATGATTGTATATTGGTAGAAACATTTGACACCAGTGGTGTTACATTTGGAAACAGAATGTGCAAAATATATTGCTTAGTTGCACTGCTTCTATGGGCCTCTCGCCAGGCTGGGAAGTAAGGAGAGACAAGAGGGAGGTAGCCTTACAAGCCAATCACCATTCCCAGAAGACTACATGGGAGAGGCCAGTGATGCAGCTAACCCCCACCAGGCATCCATCAACATTGGAGACTGTGTCACCCCAGCCTGGATGGCTCCAGGGCTGGGAATTCCACTATGCGCCAATTGGAAGAGCCTTCCCCACTGAGCAGTGCTGGGAGAAAGGTGGCATAGAAATTCCCGAAATAAATAAACTATTTGGGACAGTCGTAAAGTTGTAAGGGCTTTAGCATAGCTGGTAAATCATCAACAGTGATAAAATCTATCAACCGAAAGGTTGCCAGTTTGAAGCCCCGGGTCGGCGTGAGCTGTTGACTGTCAGCCCAGCTTACTGTTGACCTAAGAAGTTTGAAAACAGCTTGAGCTGTAATTAGAGAAATTAGGGGTGCCGCTAAAACAAGCGGGGAAGGTATTTTACATCACCATAAAGAAAAAGTTCAGAAAATGCCTGGTGACCAAAAGGAAGGAGGAAGTCCTGATGGCTCTTCATCATAGATGATGGAGCGACAGCACCCGCTGTGGCTGGATTCGAGCACAACCTTCCCAGGCACCAAAAAGCTGGACTTTGACACAATACACCTCCTTTCTGTTCTCTCTGTCTCTGTACTGTCTATCCAAAACGGCATTGAATGTTTGCTGTGTATGTATACTGTGATCCGCCCCGAGTCCTCTTGGGGAGATAAGGTGGAATATAAATAAAGTATTATTATTATTATTATTATTATTATTAGATTTATATTCTGGACCAAAGAAAACTTTTCTCTATATAGATATGAATCAAAATAAGGAATGCCAATGAAAAGCTCCCTTTTCCATAGGAACTACAAACAAATAACTGAATATTTTTAGCACAACCGTTAAAAAGAAATGAGGCCAATTCCTTCCAGCAATCCAGCTAATAAAAATTTTAATATAATAAAAACATTTTTAAACCGTTCACAATTAGAGTGAAAAAAATTAAAAATAAGGCAGCCATCCATGGAATGATTTTGTGTGTAACAAACAATCTGGAAAATACATTAAAATTACACTTTAGTACATAGAATCTGGTATACAGCTGTGTCCAGGGAGGGCTGTACCTACAAGTCACAGCTGTTCAGAGACACAACTGAAACACAGAAAAGCTTGTCTCTTTTTGAAATGAATACTCCACTTCTGAATGTCAATGTAAAGGGTATCCCAAGCCTCCTGTGGTTCATCATAAAGAGTGTAATACAGCAGCACAATACACAAGTTCAAGTTTTCCCATTCCAATATAGCTGGTTATGAAGAATGCAACTAGCTATCACTGAATGGACCTGAAAAGACAGTTTGCACCTTCCCTAACAAGCAAGGAAATGTTCTGCCATTCTAGAAATTCAGAAGAGTTATCTTGCCACGTTTGCCAATACTACACTCCCTTTGTCATGTGCATTATCACATCCTTACACTTGTTATAAACTAAACTTTAATTAAAACCTTTAAGAATGGCATTATGATATTCAGTGAAATGATTGAAAATAATGTTTCACAAAAGATACAGCTTAATTCTAAACTGATTTCCACCATTAGCCCATGTCACCACTGATTCAATGAGTAGAAACATAAATTTATAAGGCTGTAAATAATTCATCCCTTCCCATAGTTCATGGCTCCCAGCAGACTACTGTGAAGCTTATACTAGAATGCATATGTGACTAATAAGACTAGAATTAGAATAGAAAAGGGCTTGATTTCAAGTGATAATTCTTTGGGTGGGCATACAAAACTCCTTAACAAGAATGTACCTTAATATTCTAACAGCTAGAAGAGGCTAAAGAGCTGGTGCTCTGCAACACCATGTCTTTCATAATCTTAAGAAGGCTCTTCTTGCCACTAGATAATTGTTGTTGAACTCTATTACCAGTTTAACATATACAAAAACACAAGGCATCCTTGCCACTACAGTGTAATTAAGATTGTAGCTTCACAAGCCTTTTTAAAATTCCCTCATGTTTTAGCTCTCCCAGGCTCCGCATGTTATGCAAACAATACATTTACATTAAAGAATCAAAGGTACCAAGCTCAAAACTAGTGAAGCAAGTAGCTAGAATAGGTAGACGTTGTTTTCATAAATATGTAATCCAGTAGAGGCAGCTTCTGCCCAAAACAGTAGTCCAAGATACATTCTTAAATATTAAAATCCCAGGAAACTGAAACTTTCATTACATCTTTTATGCTAATATGTTCCTTACAGCATTGAATATTCTGTTCTAATCTGTTGTTTGCCCAAAAGTTTCCATTTTGCTACTCAGCTTGTTATTTTGTCCACTATTATGAACCAGTGGTCGCCTTTAGTTCAGTTTTTATGCTCACTTTACCTTAAACCAAGTAGACAGGTCTGATGCACATGGAAGCCTTCTTTGTTCACACATCAGATAATACAGTTGCTTTTTGTTAAATTGAGCAATTTTGTGATATAGTATCTTGTACCCATTATACTGTTCAAAATCATAGAATCAAAGAGTTGGAAGAGACCTCATGGGCCATCCAGTCCAACCCCCTGCCAAGAAGCAGGAATATTGCATTCAAATCACCCCTGACAGATGGCCATCCAGCCTGTCAGGGGTGATTTGAATGCAATATTCCTGCTTCTTGGCAGGGGGTTGGACTGGATGGCCCATGAGGTCTCTTCCAACTCTTTGATTTACTTTAAGTTACTATTAGTAAAACCCTGTAAAACAGGCCCATAGATAAATCAAACTTGCCACCTGATACGGCTTATTGCCTCTTTGACAATTCCTATATTCTTTTCACTCCAGGCACATATTTAAAGAATCAAAGACACCAAATGCAGTTTATCCCAGCTTCTGGTAGACCCACTTCTGAACTGAGTTTTCCCGATGTGCTGGTTTAGCCATCTAAAACCAATTACAGATTCAATTTATAATTAGCTTTCACAGCACATGTATATGTATACCATTCCGTGTTGTTAAAAAAATTAGGGAAATCCTGATATTGATTGCTGCAGCTGCACAAGCTCTAAATCAGCAAGCAGGGGTTAACTATTGAGAAAAAGTAAGTCCCTCATGGAAAATTGCCAGGATGTTACCAAGAGATCCAAATTATGTGGGCTGTAGGCTATAAGGAAACAAAGAGGGGAAATAAATCTATAATATGGAATAACTGGTACTAGAGAAATGAGTCCATACAATTTTTATCTTACTTGGAAACACTGAAATTGTAACGATTGATTGAAGAATTTTTGGCAATGGGATAGAAGATTGAAAACTCATGAAAATGCTGTGTGCCAAGAATCTATGCATACTTTCAAATCATTTAAAGTTTCTGCCCATGGCTTTTACAACAATTTCTTTCATAATGCAAGAGTAATAGCCAATAGGTAGCAGATCTTACATGGAAAGGCACCAGTGATTGGCACTGCATTCCAGAATTGTATTTACATTTAGGGTTAACTGAAATAATTCAGATAGTGGCTCAATTCAAACAGGCTCACAATAAATTAAAATGTTTTTTGCTTGGGATAGCATTAGATATCATGAGATTTGCATCTGCAGAGGTTGATGCTTTAAGGGCCCTTCATTCTTCCTAGTCATATTTCCCTTATGTATTTTATAGAATAACCCGTCGTAAATGAATTGGTACAGTGCCTGTTTCAACAAACACTGGCTTCTTAGATATCAGAACAACCTAAACTCCAGGTCTTTGTGGCTCCCACATTCTGCTGTATAGATTGTTACACTGAGAGAACACCACAATGTGCTTTCTAGCAATCCAATGCAAGGCTCCTATCAAGTTTTTAAACAAAGGACTTCATTCCACATTTATTTGCTGGATGCATCCTCTTAAGAGAGATCATGACATTGCCACCAAGTGAAAAGAAGTAGTCCCACGTCGTTGAAGGCAGAGTTTAATGTCAGTTGCGAATCTGCCAACATACGCAAATGCTTGGATTATGATTTCACAATGAGGAATTGAGTTCTTCCCAAATGAAGTTTCAATAAATGTCTTCTCAAAATGGAAGTTATACAGAATGTATATCCATCTGTCCTGTTGTATTGGTAGTTTCCCCAGCATCCTCTCATATCATCGTGCTTCTCTCCAACTCCTTAAAATAGATGGGATGGTTAAAAGGGTAAGAGAGACAACGATAAAAGAGCAGCTGCCACCTGAATGCTGCTCACACTAGACTGAGAAGACAACTGGATTCTGGACCTTTAATGCTGGTGTCCAATGGACAGAATGAGTGGGATCAGGCAGCCCAGAACCAATGCTGCCACCTCCAGGCGGCTGAGTCCTTTTCCTCCAGCAGATTCAGGCTTGTGGCTATGTCCTATTCCGCCCACTTCCGGGAGAACATGAACTGTGGCAACATACAGAAAAGTTCCAGCAGAGAAGAGCATGGCAACTCCAGTTGCATTGACTTCTGAAAGTGCTTGTTTGCTGCTCTATAATATGGAAAGGTAAAGAAGGAAGAGAATAATACAGAGGTGATTCCTTCTTAACAAAGGTAATTCTTCTTTAATGCTATCTTTACATCACTTATTCTGAGTACACAATTTTAGCATCTTCAGTAGATGATCAATAGTACTACCTGATCAGAAACAGGTTATCTTGACATATTGCACACCACTGAAAACACTGCCCCTTCAAACATTTTTACACAATGTTTATCAATGCAAAATAGAATTGCACGGGTAAAAATGAACCATACAGACTAAGCAATCCAACATCTGCCACATCCCTCAGCAGTTAATACTTTTGAATAGATCAATGTGAAATCAGGTTTACCTTGCTTAGTCCCAGGTACGTAACCATTGACAAGACAGGTGCTGCTAGTGCAAAAACCAGCAAATGCTTCCTGATTCGATTTCGTTCAAGACCAGCATGCATCAGGAAAGAGACAAGGCCAAAAGCAGCTGGTGCCTATAAAACAAAATGAAATCACAATATCTCTACAGTGAAACTGAATGTTTAGGAAGCTGAAGTGATGCTACTGTAACTACCTGCTCCACTTTTCTCCAATGTTTATGGCGGTATACCTATAGCACATCATATGCTTTATACAATTTGTAGATTCAACAACTGAAGCTGATATTTGTGTAAGCATTAGTGTGATAGATCTACCTTTTAGTCGGCTAGGCCGAAGCCTGCATAGCAGTGTCTGGCATCTTGGTATTCAAGCTGAGCAGGAGGAGGAGTCAGGCTGACTCCTGATTGGGTGTAGCAATTGGGGGTGGAGTCAGCTTAGAGAGGGAAAGCAGCTGTCGAGTTTGACAGAAGGGGAGAAGGGATTTTAACAGTGAAGAGGGTAGATGGATTTTTAGGCTGGAGAGCTGAGGAGAATTTAGACAGGAGAAAGTGAGCTTTTGGGAGTGAGTCTTTTAGTCAGAGAGAATAAGATAGGGACAAAAGGCTTGAAATTTACTGTACAGAGTGTCAGTAAAGAAGACTTGTTCACTTGATGCTTATTGCTCTGAGGAGAATATTAGTTGAGGACTAATTACTCTGTGAGACAGGAGAGTCTGTTCTCAGTGATTATACTGTTTCAAAAGGAAGTTGAACAGTATGGTTAAAAGAGACTCCCAGAAACCCAAAGCTACATTCTTAGGGAAAACTGTCTAAACAGCTAAGCCTATGTAACTGAATTACGCTTTATGTGCCACTCATTTCCAACGAGTTGTTGTTAATATCAAGTTTAAAATAAACTCTTTATTAGTTTACTTTTAATTGGTGTATGCCTCAATCCATTCGTTGCCTCAGTACTCATTCTTTCAACACATTTTTACACTCCAGTCAGCTAGGGAGGAAGCCATAGAAGCCCAAGAGCTCAAACATCCTTTACCTAAAATACATTCACACCCTTTTGGTTCCTCAGGCCAGCATTTTCTGAGGTGGTGGCGGCAAATACTACCAAGTGATTCGGTCACTTAGGATCAGCCTTTGTTCTACGCTAGCTTTAATTTTACTATAATTAGCATACCACAGCTGAGTGGTTTTTAGAATGTTAAAGCCTACTCCAATTCCATTTTCATTTGTTATAGCTTCTAAAGAGGGAAAACTTTTACACTGAGAGATCCCTTTCCTTTTTATTGATAATGGCAAATGTTATTAAAATGTTTAAATACCTGCAGCAGGAAATCACAATTTAAGTACAAATAAGCTCTTCACGTTTTATTTTTAATTAAGAAATAAATTATGAAGATATTTTCTGGGTAAGTTTACTAATCCACTCCCTCCCTCCAAATGTTCTACTATGAAAATCTGTTCTCTTTCCCCTGCAAATTAGAAGAGTCTGTACACACAAAGCAGCCATCTGTTTGAAATTGTCTATTTTTTCCCCCTGTGCTATCAAAATTAACTAACACAACACTTCTTCTCAGGTGACTACTACTCATCTGACAGGAAAAGGCAGTTAAGAGAGGAAAAACTATAAAAATAGAAGTGTTTGGGGAAGGACAGAGATGGGTTGACCTGCTTTGAAGTTCTTATATATTTCAGTAACCCAGAAACTAGTTGCCAACACTTTTCATCAAGCCTTGTGGATATTTTTCTCTTTCATTTGAAATATTAATAAATCAAGTTTTTCATATATTGAACAGCAACAACATTCTGAGCTCCAATGCTATTTTTGCTTCTGAATCATACCCATTTATGCATCTTGATGCAATGAAAGCTGGCACTTACAGATAACAGTAAATCTTAATTATTATATATGGATAGGTAGGTTAACATTGTCTTCTCAAGTCAACTAAAAGAGGTTTATCCAGTCTATCATTATACCGAACTAGTAATAAGCTAGAGGTCCTTCTGCTCTTGAGTTCCCCAGAAGCAAAAAGATTGTAACTGTTCTGTTTCACCCCACGATGTGGCAGTCAAAAACATAGTACATTTGAAGTTTGATGTCCTTTAGCTACAGCAAAAGACAGACTTATTTAAAAGTAAAAAGTTGGTGAAAACCACCACAAGCTATCACCATAACCTGTGTTAAATAATTACACATTTTATGAAAGCATACCCCTATCCACAATCAATCAATCTGTCAGTTTCCTTGGCTGACGTAAGTTTTAATATACTTATGGGACCCAAGGAAGAAACATCATGGTATATTTCAGTATTTGACTGTGACACTGGGAAAAAAGGGTTCAAATCCCTATTCAGGCATGGAAACTCACTGAGTGATCTTTGGTAGTAAATTTTTAAGTAGAAATTCTGTCCTTTGAGGATACAACCTTTTTTACCTTATTACAAAGGCAGTTAATATTTCATGGCATATGTGGCTTGATTTTCATAGGTAAAACGATCCCTTCATTTGACAAAGGACTAATGATTCACCAAAGTGTTTTTCCTGGCAGAAATGGAGGTGACTTCTCCCAATTCCACAATTTGACCCTTCAAAAATATGTTCCAAAGGGTTGGGGTACCCTCCTGAATGACATGGGAAGGGGTTCTGGGGCTTCAGAAGAAAGTAGGATTGCTGAATACACGATTTCCATGGCAGATAAAAGTGCTGCATCCAAGCCAAAGATTTACGCGAATAGTGTTGTTATTATCTTCCTTGAAGTCATTTCTGACTTATGGCATCCCTAAAGCAAACCTATCATAGAGTTTTCTTGGTTTGCTGAATCGCTGGATCCAGAACCTATGGATATGGTGAGCCCACTATAAAAGCAGTTCTTGATTCATGATAATGACTCAACAACACAGCATATCTATCAGTGTAGCAGTAGTATTTATGCATTAAGGAGTTACATACAGAATACACAACAACTTCTGCAATAACTGCAAGAGAGAAGCACTGTTGTGTGTTTTCTGTACATACAGTGAATACCAGGTGGTTCTCAACCTGTGGGTCCCCAGGCGTTTTAGCCTACAACTCCCAGAAATCCCAGCCAGTTTACCAGCTGTTAATATTTCTGGGAGTTGAAGGCCAAAACATCTGGGGACCCACAGGATGAGAACCACTGGTGTATACATTAAATAATTGGGTTAGCAGAAAACTCTCATATATTGGACTGCATACTTTCACTACTGTTGATGCAATATCCTATACATGTGCTGGAGGAAAATTGATGTATGCCTTAAAATGCACTATTCTTGAAAAACACTTTCTGCTAGTAATTCAAATCCATGACTTCCAACAATGAACACTATTCATATATGTGCAGAACACATAAAGAATTCACACTCAAAACGTACCTTGTGTAACATAATTGCAACAAACACTATTAGCTGGACACTCGTCTGAGATGTGGAAGCAGCTGCACCCAAGGCAACACCATCAGCTTAATGAGGGGAGGGAGAAAAGAAAACAAGCCACACAGTAGTAAGCCCATTAGTTTATCAAAGACTGGTTGAAAGTAGTTAACACAAAGAAATAAGTCTAATTACACTAATTTTTTTCTTAAATTTTTCCTTTTCTCGAAAAGAGGGTTTTATTCCTATAAAGAACATCCATAACTACAGTTTGGAATCATCAATGGGCACAACATTCTTCTGAGTAGCAATATGCACAATTCGGTTTTACTTCTTCACTGGTCACAAACATGTCAGATTTCTTGTCTTTCCTTAAAACTGTTTCCTAGTTAGAAGTCTGACATATTTTCTATTTCCTTTCAGACAAAATAAACCAGGGCTTCTTTTTTGTAAAACTCAAGTGTGCATTTGAAGGGGAGGTGTAGTCTTTTGAGGGCTTAGAAATTCTTCCTTTTTCCTGCAGGACCCCATTTCTCACCTTCAAGCAAGTAAATCAGAATTGAATCTAAGTTAAGCAACTTGTGGTCTGAAATATGTTGTCTGAACACATTTTTGTCAGATATTGAAAAATTAACAGTGTACTTTTAATTAAAGAAATGATATACAGGCACTGTAAGAGTTAAAATGGTGGAGTGACTCAGATAAACCAGTAGGTTGTTATAAGCAGGTGTGCCTGTGGAGTTAAAAGAGAGAGAGAGAGAGAGAGAGACAAAGAACCAAGGAGTGAGTTGCTCCTTGGGAAACCGGTGCTGTTTGGTTTGCTTGTAGTTTTGAGTTGTCGATGATAGAAGATAGAAGAAAGATGGAAGAAAGAAGATAAAGCCTTGGATTGAGTAGGCGAAGATAAGGCATTAGAAGTATGCCCAGTTAAGTTTAATGAACTTTATGTTGGGGGAAAAATGCGTTTTGTAAATACTTCAGTGCTATTTTTGTTACAAGAAAAAGCCTCCAGAGGAAGTGAAAGACAAATTAACATTTTCTGTGTTTATTTGTTCATCTGGTCACTTGCTGGCCACTGCTGCTGTTAAACTACACTACAATTTCTTTACGGGGAGGGTCTTTTGTTTGAAAACCCAGTCGACCAACAATTCCCTATTAGCCTCCATTATAACAGGAGTTGCAGTCCACTCTCTGAAGGGCCACAGATTGCCTCATCCCTGTCACAGCCACTGTGGTAGTAAATGTGTCCAGTTGACAGTGAGTCTGATGAAGAAATCACTCACAGGCATGGAGCCGGGTGTTATCAGTATGCTGATGACACCCAAATATATTTCTCCATATCTTCAAAAACAGCCTCAGCTAAGAATAGTGCATCTTCTCTGGATGAGAAAAAAACCCAAACTGAAACTGAATCCAGACAAATCAGAGGTGCTTGCCATCAAGGGTCTCAAGCTGGGGATGGGGGTCTGTCAACCAGTTCTGGGATTGGTTACATTACTCCTGAAAGACTGTATCCATAGCTTGGGAGTGCTCCTGGATCCGTCTCTCAAAATGTCAGCCCTGATAGATGCAAGGGTCAGGAGTGCTTACTGCTAGGTTCAACTGATCTGCCAGCTGTGCCCCTTCCTAGATTTGGATGACCTAAAGATGGTAGTGCATGCGCTGGTAACCGTAAGGTTGGATTTCTGCAATGTGCTTTACATTGGGATAGCTTTGTTCTAAGTTCAGAAACTGCAGCTAGTTCAAAATACGGCAACCAGATTAATTATGGGAACACCCAGGAGTGAGCATATTACACTATCCTAAAGTCACTCCACTGGCTGCCAATTAGTTTCCAGGAATAATACAAGGTGTAGGTAACCTGGACCCAAACCATGTAGACCTTAAAAGCCCTACATGGTTTGGGTCCAAATTACCTACAGTGGATTGAACCTTCTCTCGTTCAATCCACTTCAACCTCTTAGGTCCTTTGGGGGGCTGCTATTCCAACCTGCCAGAACTCGACTGGCGACCATCACCAAGATCAGCCACCCCAAGACTGTGGAACAACTTGATGGAAGAGCTCTGACAGCTAAATGAGCTTCAGAATTTATAATCCATCTAAAGACCTAGCTCTTCTGGCATGCCTACCCAGCAAGTTTTAAGCATGAATTTTAAACTCATGTCCTGAATTTTAATCTCTGTCCTGTCTATTTAATATGTATTTTATAGAAAATACTTTTCATTATGTATATTTTATAGACCTACATTATAATATATGTTTATAGAATTTTTGCAATGTTTGAGTGTTTTGACTGCTGTGACCCACCTCGAGCCACAAGGAGATCTAGACACTTAGATCTTAGATCTAGACACTATGCTCCTATTGATGCAGGCCAAAATCCCATTGGCTTTTTTTGTGATGTGGCGGCAAAAAAAGCCAATGGGATTTTGGCCTGCATCAATAGGAGCATAGTGTCTAGATCTAAGGAAGTAATGCTACCCTCTATTCTGCTTTGGTTAGACCACATCTGGAATATTGTGTCCAATTCTGGGCACCACAATTCAAGAGAGATATTGACAAGCTGGAATGTGTCCAGAGGAGGCGACTAAAATGATCAAGGGTCTGGAGAACAAGCCCTATGAAGCAGCTTAAGGAGCTGGGCATGTTTAGTCCGAAGAAGAGAAGGCTGAGAGGAGATATGATAGCCATGTATAAATATGTGAGAGGAAGCCACAGGGAGGAGGGAGCAAGCTTGTTTTCTGCTTCCTTGGAGACTAGGACACGGAACAATGGCTTCAAACTACAAGAGAGGAGATTCCATCTGAACATTAGGAAGAACTTCCTGACTGTGAGAGCTGTTCAGCAGTAGAACTCTCTGCCCCGGAGTGTGGTGGAGGCTCCTTCTTTGGAAGCTTTTAAGCAGAGGCTGGATGGCCATCTGTCAGGGGTGATTTGAATGCAATATTCCTGCTTCTTGGCAGGGGGTTGGACTGGATGGCCCATGAGGTCTCTTCCAACTCTTTGATTCTATGTTTCTATGATTCTATGAGAGGCGGGTAAGAAATAAATTATTATAATGTTATTATTAAAACTTCCACCCAGAGCCCTGTCATGGGGCTGCTCTGGGTCCAAAACAAATATGGAATTCCTTGCTTTTGTAGATGTTTCATACTTCAGAAGGAACTCTTCAAACATGGAGATATAAATAATCATTAAGTACATATTTGAGGTTTATGCCATCTTCTTCTCTATCTCTCTTTATCCCATATAAGAACATAGTCAGTAAACTTGGGTGGTCTGGCAATCATGTCACAAAATATCCTTCCCTGGCTAACAATGTCAACTGTTAATACATATCCTGCTAAGCAAACATAATTTTAACCCACATATGCAAACAATACTAGAACACCTTGACTTTATTCCAAAAGAACAAGCAACAGTTTTACCTGCAGCATGAACAACTAGTCCCAGTGTGGTAGTAATTTTGGAATTGCCCGACCTTGCTGCTTCTGGGTCTGAAACAATTAAGAAATCTTAACCAAATAAATGATAAACAAACATGTAGAGAACCCTAAAAGAAAAATATTACAGACGTTTATGCACAAATTTTAAACTAAACTAAGCTACAGTGTATTTCTCACCACTTTCAGATTCTTAATCCTTTGAACTAGAGAGGTAAAATAATGAATACGTTTTTAAAAGAGTGCTTTGAGTTTCTTATTACTCTGTTCCTTATTTCACAAGATATTATATCCCAACTATCACCATCAATAGGAGCCTCTGGTGGCACAATGGGTTAAGCCGTTGTGCCGGCAGGACCGCTAACCGAAAGGTCAGTGGTTCAAATCCGGGGAGCAGGGTGAACTCCAGCTTCTCATGTGGGGACTTGAGAGAAGTCTCCCACAGGATGGTAAAACATCTGGGCATTCCATGGGCAACGTCCTTGCAGACGGCCAATTCTCTCACTCCAGAAGCGACCTGCAGTTTCTCAAGTTGCTCCAGACACGAAAAAACAACAACAAACGAATAGAATTTTCAGAGATCCCCAGGCTTTACTTAATTTTGGACTTACCCAATACTTGTAAAAAATGAATTGTCATACTGTGCACTGTATGATTTAACAGTAATGACCTAGAAGGCTATATTTATTTTAAAGGGAAAATACTCATATATTCTATGCACTGAGAGACCACTGTTGAATTTTACAACATCTTTGAAAGCTAAATATCCTTTAAAATCCTTTCAGCGTGACATTTAGTTTGTTTTACAGAGCATACAAGACTTCTGAGAAAACATTTTATTTAAGAGCTTTAAAATTTTGATTTAGCTGGAAATAATCTTGTTCTGTCTTAAGAAACCATACTTAAAATTGTCAAAAAAGTCTCAAAGAAAATGTAATCTAATGAAGCATTGGTATACACACTGCTCATGCATATGTATATAATATGTATATAAACTAACTTAGCATTCTAAGTAATAAGTAATTTTATTTCGCTAACTAAATGGCTTGCTTTTACTGAGGCTTCAGTTGCCTGAAGACTACCAGATTCACTCATTCTTCCTTTGCGGTATCACTTGCTTTGCCTGTCAAACTCACCATCTGCAGTGTGGACATGAGAACTTCCAATCTGATCCACCAGAAGCATAAAGACAAAACCAAGTACAAGGGAAACACCAATATAGGCATGTAATCTCTCGTGGTCATGACTGTGGTCATGGACATGCACTTCTGGTACCTCGACTGCTTTCTCAGATTCAACCATCTTTTGAGTCTCACTGGCTGGGTGATGTTTTGCTAAATGAAACAAACAACATAAATCGGAGTTATAATCACAGGGGCTTGAGTGCTATATTGTGAGCACATTTTAATTATCAACAGACAATTTTCCCAGGCAATTTTACAGTCAGAAGACACTCTGGCATTATTTTAAGTTATGCTGGAGTCAATTTTAAACTATAAATTTTAATGTATTGTCGAAGGCTTTCATGGCTGGAATCACTCAGTTCTTGTGGGTTTTTTCCGGGCTATATGGCCATGTTCTAGAGGCATTTCTCCTGACGTTTCGCCTGCATCTATGGCAAGCATCCTCAGAGGTGAGGACCTCACCTCTGAGGATGCTTGCCATAGATGCAGGCGAAACGTCAGGAGAAATGCCTCTAAGAACATGGCCATATAGCCCGAAAAAACCCACAAGAACTGAGTATAAATTTTAACTTTACATGTTATTAGTATTTGAGTTTTAATTTTTGTTCTATGTATTTTTATAGACTTATTTCAATGGTATTGTGTTTTATATCTGTGTTTTAACTATGTTGTACCCCAAATCATGAGAAGAGTCAAGTAACAAAATTTATTGTTGTTGTTGTTATTCAATGCAACTTAATAAAACATAAAGATCACTCTTCTATTAGCAGCCATACAGTTGCTTCTTCTATCTACCAAAAACGTTCTAATTTGAAATATATATTTTTGGTTTTTGACTTATGGAATACTTCAGAATAAAATTTATTACACAGTGTATACGGAAACAAGATTTTAATAGTTATATTAGTTATTACCAGTACATATGCCTTGTTGTAAACATAAATATTTTCTTTAATCATCAACATTCAAGCAAATGCAAAAAGAGAGCAGATAGGTAGGACAAGTAGACAATGTGTGTCACATTTGGTTCTGTAGGAATCACTTTTAGATATCATCAACAAGCAAAGCAGCTTTGGAAAGTGATGGTAAGTACTCCAGCCAAGGACATTGTTTGCACACTTGAAAGCAAAGGGCACTCAAACTATCAAGGCTAAAAGATCACATTTAATTCCTCTCAGCTAGAAATCTTGGCCGATCAATGTAGCATATATACAATGCACCTATTTACAATGCCCTGGCTGCAAATTTAATATATGTATAGATAGTATAAAACAGTGCCCATTCCAAAGATGGCTACAGGTTGTTAAAATTTAGAATAATGGTCGGAATTAAGCACTGCAAATTAGGATACTACTGCTGACACATTAGAAGCACAGTAGTACCATATGTACTAGTATATTAAGTACACAGCTAATTTTGAATAATTAGTATTACTTCTTCTAATGGCAAAAAAAAAAAAAGACTAAGGGGTTGTGTGCACTGATGCCATGATCGCCAATTTCAGAACCATCTTCAGACTTCTCCAAACAATTTTCCATTAAAATTCTAATGGAAATGGAGAAAGTCAACTTCCACAGGATGCTGAGGTATACCAATACTATCAGCTGCTCTTGAACAATATCATCAAATAATTACTACATATATCCTGCACGGGATCAGCTTACATAATTCCACTAATATTTATGAAAGCTATGATTGTTACTATGCTAAATCATAGACCTAGATTTCCTACAGCCTAATTCACCTCACAGAGTCCCTAGATGGGAAAATGGGGGCTTGCTTAGAAAAAAGGTGGAATAAAATTCTAAGAGAGAAAGAACCATGTAGAATTTTTATGTATTATCATTAAATTGCTAGAGCACATCATAATTTGTAATTCAAAACCTCCCCACAAGTCGGAAGACAATAAGAGCTGTTTAAGAATAGAAAATCGAAACCCCCAAGGATTCGAGACACTATTTCATGGTTCTCTGGACCCTGATCCTTAAATTAATATAAATTAATACTTGCTGTGAGTACAAATATAACAATTGTCAAACATCTGTTGAAATTCAAAATAGCTTATGACAAACACAATTTGAAGTGAAGGCAACCAAACATGCAAGGATGTGTTCCATAGGAGCAAGTACTTGATATATGAACAAAATGTCATCTTCAATTATGCAGAATACTTTGCAGCAGAACAATAATATTTTTGTTCTCTTACCCTCCAAAACATCTTCATAAAGTGCATGTACTCCTTCAGGCACAATGACAGCCAAAGCAGTTCCACAAAGGAGCCCTGCACCGAGAACTGTCACCAACTTTAGTCTTTCCTGCAAGTAAAATTCAGATTGTTAGTTTATAAGAACCAAAATCTTCACAAATCCAACGTCTGGGAAAATGTTGATTCTTCAAATGCACATGAGAAATCAATAGTAGCCGAACGTGGAATGTTGCTGCTGATTTTTAATTAGCAATCTGGGCAACTGTTTAGAGTCAAGGGAGGGGAGCAGTGGCTTGTTTGACGCAGGTCAGCAAAGCACTTTAAGTGCATGCGTAACCTTCACTTCCAGAGTAAGAAAGAAAACGCTTGCTACCTCACCCACCCTCAGAAGAACTAGCCACAACTTTCTTCTCTATCTTGGAGCTGAAGAGGGGGTTACGGCTCTATCTACGCAGCATTCTGAAATTCTGTGAGATTACAGGGACAAGCTCTGCCCCCTGCATCGCAAGCTAGAGAACAAAAGTAAGCAAACTGTAACTTGCTAGCATTAGCTTAACCAACATAGTCCATGATGAGGAAAGCTGAGAGTTACACTCTAACAACATCTCGATAGGCACACTTGGCCTATGCAGATACAGAGGAATATTGGACTTTGTCTCATTATTACACCATGGCAAGTCTGGAAAGCCGACATGTGGGGCAACTGTTTACTTAAATTCGAAATGGAATGAAAAACAGTTCAGAGTATTAACTCTAAAGTGTTAAACATCCAGCATTCATAATTAGAAATAAACTCTGTTTGCATTCAGAAGCTACAGTAGAAAACCCGCCCACTAACACATGTAGGTCATTTCCCTCCAGATCTGAATAGACATAAATCAGGTCTGAAAATATACCTTCTAAATGCTGCACACAGAATGTGATGAACTTGCACCAAGGTCTGATGGAATAACTCTGTTTTCCATTTTTTGGAGACATATAAAGCAGCTGAAAAGTCCAGGACAATGCCTAATTGGGTGTTTCTGAAAACCTGAGATGCTTGAGTGACCCATGGTGGAACACACATTATTTACATTCTATTCCACTGATACAGTCTATGTAGGACTGTTCTGAAACCTCACCTGATCCCAATTCTTCCACCGTGATGAGTGCCACATACAGGGCATATGTTTTAAACTGCTTTACTTTAATTGTTCCACAAGCATATCTCTAGCAGACTAATAATTGCAATCAATGAGCTTCATTCTTTCTTCACTAACCATTTTTACTGATATACATGGTCTTGATTTTTTACATTTTCAGTGTAAAAAAGGATTGCATGAATGCATAGTTTTTATTCTGTAAATTATTTCAAAAATATAGCAGCTGAAACTGCGTGATGCAATTTTAATTTCTTAAAATTGAACCACTATAATTGTGAAATATACATAAATAAGCTTTTCTGCACAACACGGAACTATTAACAAAGCACCTGATATCTCAGAATAAGTTGTAAAAATAACTTAACTAATAAAATGCAATTTGTTATTTGGAACTGCCAAGTTGTTGCAGACACTAAAATCCAAGAAATGTAACACTATTTTATTTATTTTACATTTTTCTGTGATCATTACTTCCAAATATTCATGGTGGTTCACCTTCAAGGCTTTTGCATAGAAAGATTGGGGAATCCATCCCCCAACCCTGGAATGCTGTTGATCTCCACTTTCCATCAACTCCCAGGGAGACTGGCCAATAGTTTGGAATGATGTAAAGTATAGTTAATCAGGATCTCCAGGGTCACATGTCCCTTACACTACATATATGGAACAATTATAGCAATTCTTGTGTTTCTGCTTTATGCACAACTATATTCAAGGTTACAAGTTGGCAAATTATGACAATATAGGACTACTGTACTACCCTAAGAGCTAAGCATAAACTTTTCCACCTCACTTGAGAAATTATTTCCCCAGTAAATCTAACCTCCCCGTTTATAAGAAATCATGGACATTTGTTTCAGACCAATATACTGTTAAAATCCACATTAGTTAACAGAACTTGCTTCCAAATTCACCTATAGGATTACAGCCATTGTCTTTTAGTATGTGGTCTACCTTAATAGCTTTGCATAAATGCAGTTTGGAAGCAAAATTATCTGGGTTTTTTTTATTACAAACAAATGAAATCCCAGTGCATGTGGGATTATATTCATGAATAAAATAAATATATGGGGAAAAGAAACTCTGACCCTACTGGATAGCTTTCTTTAAACCCAAAATTTCTTGCATATTGTCTCTACAAAACACCAAGTGCATCAATCTACACAGGAGCTTGCAGTAGGCCTAGGAGAAGGTGGCTGGCAATCTGAGATCCACCAGATTTGTTCACTTGGAAGAACCTACAACTGGACTCCTCTATGTCAACCTGAAGCTGTTCTAAATATCTGCCACACACTGGAATCAGTGATAAATATGTAAAACACACATAAAGGAGACACAGACATTCTTCCCATTCCATCCAATGTGTACCTGCAGGGCTTTGGAAGCAGTGACAGGTGCACCACTTTACAGACATCACCAACATGATTTAGATTTGCACTGTTAGTTCTATACAAAAATGATAAAATTTTATGATAGTTAAGGAATAAACAATTGGAAAATGTTTTAAAATCAGCAATACTAAAACATTCTCATTTTTCTCCAGTCAGTTAAGAAATATTTTGACAGGGCTTAGAATGTTATTGGATGCAAGGTGTTTGTGTGTGCATGGAGTACATGGTTTGGAAATAATCTGCCCTGTATGTTTTAGAAAACAAGATTAACTGTATTTCCTTTGGAAAAACCAGGGATATAGAACCAGCTTTTTATTTAGCCAGTCAGAAAAAATAAGGTCATCCAAGTAAGTAAGTAACTGCCTCTGTAGCTCATAGATACATCAAGAATGCTGGGAAGTTTGTGATCTATGATTTATGCAGGCCTGGTGGTAGACATTATGGATATCAGAGAGAGAGAGAAAACTTCGCACACTGCTATAATCAGCATAATTTCCACATTGCATGTTACTTTTTACCCATTAGTATATATATTATAATAATCTACAGTGCTCCCTTGAGTGTTCTCATTCTGCTACAATCCCATACTTCCCTAGAAGCTTCACTGACCTCAATGAGACCCATTTCAGAGTACATATATACAGACTGAAGTATATACAGGCAGTCCCCAAGTTACAAACAAGATAGGTTATGTAGGCTTGTTCTTAAGTTGAATTTGTAAGTTGGAACAGGTGCATATTTTAAATATAACACCTGCCAAAAATACATCTATATTAGCTTATGATAGCATAGGGAAGGGTTAACACCATTGTGGTGTATGCTTTGCTATCTGTTTTGAAAATATTTTACTCAGAAAGTGCTTACTGCCATACAAAAGTAATCCTAGGTAATCCCACATCACTCAAGATTTTCTTTTTTAAGGAACCAGAGCTTTTGTCACATCATCTTACGCCTCAAATAATTGAACCCAATCAGAATTATGCAATATAGATCAGAGCTAACTGGAATGTGCAGTTTTCTCTCTCCTGGTAGACTTTCAGAGCATCTGTTCAATTCCTTATCCTTAAGATCTCCTACTTGTTTCCCTACTCCTTTTAAGAAGCCTACTCCTACTCCTTTTTACAAGAGTGTATTTCCCATCCACTGAAACTATCCACTAGGGATGCATCTAGACTGCAGAATTAATGCAATTCGACTTCACTTTAACTGTCATGGTTCGATGCTATTGAGTCCTGGGAGTTCTAGTATCTCAAGGTCTTTGCCTTGTGGAACTACATTTCCCAGGATTCCATAGCATGGCAGTTCACAGAATCATAGAGCTAGAAGTCCACAAGAGCCATGCAATCCAACTCCTTGACATGCAGGAATACACAATCAAAGCTGTCCCTACAGACAGCCACCCAAGATCTGCTTAGAAACCTCCAGAGTTGGAGATTCCATCACATTCTGAGGCCACTTCTACATCTAAAATCCAGATTATCCGCTTTGAACTGGAGTAAATGCACTACAGACTCATAGAATACAGTTCAAAACAGATAATGTGGATTATTTACTTTGATAATCTGGATGATATGGCAGTGTAGCAGGGGCCTGAGGCACATAAAGAGCTGTTCATATTCCTGTTGAACAGCGCTTACTGTCAGGAAGTTCTTCTGAAGGTTCAGGTGGAATCTTATTTCCTATAACTTGAATCCATTGCTTCTCCTAGGCCTCAGAGCTGAATTTTCATTTATTTATTTCTATCTTGCCTTTCTCCACCCCGGAGGGGACTCAAGGCGGCTTTCACTTAGGCAACTATTCAATGCCTTCAAAGGCAATGTACAAATAAAATATACCTTTAAAATAGAATTATATGATGCATTAAAACATATAAAACAATACCTTCACTGTTAACCACGTTATTTATCACGTCAGAAGCTAACTGAGGACATAATTATAATGTATTTAAAACCACAAAGGAAGTTTTAAAAACTTGGCATTATTCTAAATGTCCTTTGAACAGGAGCTGTTCACTTGGAGTGCCTCTGGTGTTGCTATGGGAAGGTCCTTTGCTGTGCATATGGCAGGGCTCAGGTTGCATTGTAGTTGGTGGTCTGTGGCTGCAGCATACAACCAAACCACTGAATAAAATACCACATTATCTGCTTTGAACTGTAATATATGTCAATGTGGGTTCAGATAACCCAGGTCAAAGAAGATATTGTGGGATTTTCTGCCTTGATATTGTGGGTTATATGACCGTGTGGAAGGGCCCCTAGTCTCCAGAGCAGCAGAAAACACGTTTGCCATTTCCTCAATGTGACATCCTTTCACTTATGAAACATGACTGTCATGTCCCCTCTCAGCCTTCCTCTCTCCAGATAAACATCCCTAGTTCCCTCACCTGCTTCTCAAAGAGCTTTGTCTCGGATCATTTCAGTCATCTTCTCCAAGCTGAACATAGTATCAAAGTGCGCTGATTCGACAGCATAGAACAGGTATGGACAAACTTGGCCCCTCCAGATGTTTTGGACTTCAACTCCCACAATTCCTAACAGCCCCAGTACCTTTCCTTTTCCCCCTCAGCCGCTTAAGGTACACTTGATCTTAAACAAAGGCTGAGGGGTGATCATAACCTACCAACACATACATTAGCCACTGGACGAGATATTAAAGCCAGCAAATTGTCTGAATTGCACGTAATAGGTTTTTAGCACAATAAAGGTAGATGCAGCTGCAGAAGGTATTCCAGTAAAGTAATAGTAAGGTCAGTTTTCTGAGTGTCAAGCCATAACTGGTTCAAATGGGAGCTTGGCTGAATAGCCTGGCCGTCCACCATTTGTATTTCAGGTTTAGGGGTGAAGTATCTTTTATGGGTCCAATTAGTGCATCATATTCTCCTAGGGATGACAGCCACATTTGTGTCACATTTGGTAGTGACTTGTCTCCCAGTTAGATCAATAGCACTACCCCCCCCCCCAAAAAAAGCAGGTTCATGAGTGCCTCCAGATTGTTCAGGTAGGATTGATTGATTTGATTGTTTTAACTAGTAATAACTGTTGATGTTAAATTGTAAATTGTATATTGTATTTTGTGAATTGTTGGGCATCGAATTGTGCCTTTTGTAAGCCGCCCTGAGTCCCCCCTAGGGGGTTGAGAAGGGCGGGGTAGAAGCACTCCAAATAAATAAATAGGAATTTAACAGAGATCTTTCTGATTCTGTACATGTCCCAGTTTTTGGCAAAAACATCAGTACAGCCCTCATTAAGCCTAAAACGCTGAAGCGGCTGAAGAGGAAAAAGAAAGGGCCTGAGACTGTTAGGAATTGTGGGAGTTGAAGTCCAAAACATCTGGAGGGCCGAAGTTTGCCCATGCCTGGTGAAGAAGCACTCCTTTCTTAACACTGATGTGAAAAGGGAAAACAGAGCAGTGAGAGAAGGCCTGCTTACCTCGGAAAAGTTTACGGCTAGCGGGATGATGCCTGCCACATAGCAGCCCACCAGCATCGCTAGAGACAGCAGGCTGATCGACAAGAAGTCGTCCATGGCCGGCTCCTCTTACGTTACAGTTTCCCAGGGAACTCCAGAAAGGGAAGAGGCCTCATGGGCCCGAAACACCCGGGGTGGGCGGCTGGAAAGCGGGCAGCACCTTGCTTCGAGGCTGGGGGCCCTTCTCTAACGGAGGGCGGGAAAGAAGCGGCACGGGCGAGAAGAGGAAGCTCGCCAAGGCCCTCACACAACCTTCCTGAGGAGGAGAAGGGAGGAAGTGCCTCAGGTTCAGGCACCGAGCCCTCACCACCTGCCCCTCACTGTCCCACCGCCGCCATTGCGAGTGGAGTCCTCCTCCTCCGCCTCAGAAGCGGCCATCAAGGGCCAAGTGGCAACTTCTCCCTCACTTCCTCTTCCCTTCCTTAACTTCCGGAACACTTGGCGGTGAAAGAGAGGCGTACGAGCGAGCAGGCCTCGCTGGATTCGCTCCTTTCTTTCCCGCCCAATTTTAAGATGGCGGCGAAGGGAACGAAAGTCAACGCCGCCCCGCCCACCGCTAGCCATTCCTAAGGCGGGCCTCGACTACACTACTCCGGCGCCCTGACCAAAGATGGCCGCTTTCGTCTCCCGCGCGAGGAAAAGTCAACGCAGAACTGAGATCTCGCGAGGCTGGCGCTGTTGACGCTCTACCTCCTGCGGCTCTCCTCAGAAAACGGTGGCACCTCTATGGTTCTCGTGCGGGATTTGGAGTCTACGTTAAGTTTCCGGCGGCCGCGGAGCATTGTGGTTGAGAAGTCGTTAGGAGTTTGCTTCGCGCCCGTGCTGAACAGAAAAGAATCGCCATGGTGAGTTCAGAGAGGGGTTTTTGAGGGGCGGAGAGACTCGGAATTGACTGAAGGAGGCGGAGAGTTTTCGCTTGGCGCCTCGCAGTTCACTTGAGCCAAGGCTTCGGGCCTAAAGGCGAGGAGGCAATGGCGAGGGAAGAGGGTCTGTCTCTACAAAGCCTATTATGCGTGGCCTCTGAGAAACAGCGAAGCCCTCCCTCCTCGCCCTCCTAAGACTTCCCTAAATCGAGCTTAGCGAGACAGAGTGCATCCACACTGGAGAATTAATTCAGTTTCGCGCCACTTTAAATTCGATGGCGCCATGCTATGGAATCCTGAGAGGTAGCAGTTTCGTGAGGTACCAGCACCGTCTGGTAGAGGACGCTAAGGACCGTGTAGAGCAGGCAAGGGCAAACTATGGCCCTCCACGTGTTTTGGACTCCAACTCCCATCATTCCTAACAGCCTCAGGCCCCATCCTTTTCCCCCTCAGCCGCTTAAGCGAAAGGGCCTGAGGCTGTTAGGAATGATGGGAGTTGGAGTCCAAAACACCTGGTTGGCCAGAGTTTGCCCATGCCTGCTCCAACATCAGATGAAATTGGAAATGTATAGTCCAAAACATCTGTAGGGTTGAAGTTTTCTCATGCCTTGGCCCATGGCACTTGAAGCGAAGTCAAGCTGCATTAATTCTACAGTGTAGATGTACCTTTGGAGTTCCCAGTGCTACCTAATCACATTCATTTTTGTTTTAGAGAGCAAGAAAGTAGGGGGAAACAAATACTTTGAACTGGGTTGTTGTAGGTTTTTTCAGGCTATATGGCCATGTTCTAGAGGCATTCTCTCCTGACGTTTCGCCTGCATCTATGGCAAGCATCCTCAGTGCATTCTCTCCTGACATTTCGCCTGCATCTATGGCAAGCATCTTCAGTGGTAGTGACCTCAGGAGAGAATGCCTCTAGAACAGGGGTCCTCAAACTAAGGCACGGGGGCCGGATGCGGCCCTCCAAGATCATTTCCCTGGCTCTCGCTCAGGGTCAACCTAAGTCTGAAATGACTTGAAAGCACACAACAACAACAATCCTATCTCATCAGCCAAAAGCAGGCCCACACTTCCCATTGAAATACTAATAAGTTTATATTGGTTAAAATTGTATTGTTTTTAAGGGGGCTTTTTTGCACTACTAATAAGATATGTGCAGTGTGCATAGAAATTCATTCATGTTTTTTTTTCTTCAAATTATAATCCGGCCCTCCGACAGTTTGAGGGACTGAGACTTGGCCCTCTGTTTAAAAAGTTTGAGGACCCCTGCTCTAGAACATGGCCATATAGCCCGAAAAAACCTACAACAACCCAGTGATTCCGGCCATGAAAGCCTTCGACAATACTTTGAACTGAATACCATATTTACTTGAGTCTAATGGGCACTTTTTTGGCCTAAATTAAATCGCAGAGGGGCGTGGCTCCCCAGTGGCCTTATTTGTTCTGCCTGCCTCCCTGATGTACTATGCGGTTGGGTGCATTACATTTTAGGACAAATCTATTTTTTTGTAATTTTCACCTTATACTCGAGTAAATACTGTCATAAATCGAAGAGAAGGATTTATTCCACTAGAATAGCTATTTTTAGAATAGGTAATTCTTACAATACTAGGAACTAGCAGACTATTTAAATATCATGCTCAACACAATAGTGTAGAGTTGGACCTCCGTTTCCATTGATTTTGCATCCATGGAGTCATCATTCTGCAATATTCTTTAAAAATTTAAGAAAGACAAGTCTTGATTTTTGCCATTTTACATAAGGGACACAATTCGTAGAATAGAATCAAACAGTTGGAACAGACCTCATGGGCCATCCAGTCCAACCCCCTGCCAAGAAGCAGGAAAATTGCGTTCAAAGCACCCCTGACAGATGGCCATCTAGCCTCTGTTTAAAAGCTTCCAAAGGAGGAGCTTCCATCACACACCGGGGCAGAGAGTTCCACTGCTGAACGGCTCTCACAGTCAGGAAGTTCTTCCTAATGTTCAGATGGAATCTCCTTTCTTGTAGTTTGAAGCCATTGCTCCGCATCCTAGTCTCCAGGGCAGCTGAAAACAAGCTTGCTCCCCTCCTTATGATTTCCTCTCACGTATTTATGTATGGCTATCATGTCTCCTCTCAGCCTTCTCTTCTTCAGGCTAAACATGCCCAGCTCTTTAAGCCACCCCTCATAGGGCTTGTTCTCCAGACCCTTGATCACTTTAGTCACCCTTCTCTGGACACATTCCAACATGTCAATTGTGGTGCCCAGAATTGGACACAATATTCCAGATGTGATCTAACAAAGGCAGAATAGAGGGGCAGCATTACTTCCCTAGATCTAGACACTATACTCCTATTGATGCAGGCCAAAATCCCATTGGCTTTCTTTGCTGGTGCATCACATTGTTGGCTCATGTTTAACTTCTTGTCCACGAGGACCCCAAGATCTTTTTCACACGTACTGCTTCCAAGCCATGCGTCCCCCATTCTGTATCTTTACATTTCCTTTTTTCTGCCTAAGTGGAGTATCTTGCATTTGTCACTGTTGAACTTCATTTTGTTAGTTTGGCCCATCTCTCTAATCTGTTAAGATCATTTTGAATTCTGCTCCTGTCTTCTGGAGTATTGGCTATCCTTCCCAAATTGGTGTCGTCTGCAAATAGAATAGATGGTGAAGTTGAGATTTTATGGACCATAATTTGGACTGATGTGGAGGATGTTTTAAACCCGGTGAACTGTTTTTAATGTATATTTAAAATCATTTAATGCAATTGTGTATTTTATTGCTGTTTTTATATTGTATTAACATCGAATTGTTGCCTGCTGGTAGCCGCTCTGAGTCCCTCCTCGGAGGTCGAGAATAGGACGGGATATAAATGTTCTAAATAAATAAATTCGAATTGTGTATGAATGAAACTTGGGAGCATCCATGGATTTTGTTGTCTACAGGCATCCTGAGACCAAACATAATGGGCCATGCTATTGTAGTCTAAAGCTGTAGGTTCTCTTACATAAAACCATGCTAGTAAATTGTATATTTTGTAAAAATTTATCTTAAAAAGCATTTCACACACTCCAAATTAGAAAGATTTCTTTAAGAGGTCTTTTTGCTGGACTCTGAAAAAGAACCCACTCACAAATTATTATTTTTTTATTCAGTGTATTTCTTCTAGTAAAATATATGCTTGCTTATTTTCCTTAGAGACAGAACTTGTTAAAATTAGTAATAGGTATATCCATAATTTAAAAGCAATGTATTGAACCAAATATATTATATATATCAGGATTTCACCTGTGTACCCATAATAGATGTGTAGTTGGGCTACTGTTATATGTGCAATTAACTGAGAGTAAGCCTCATTTTTTGACCTTTTACTTTGTGAACATAGCTGTTCCACATAGTCTACTACTTATTAACTGGCATGCTGTACTGATCAGAAACTTTCAATGAATGACCAAAGCAGTCCCATGTTCCCACGTAGAAAGCTTGCAATCATCCTAATATTTAAAAATAATTTCATTTGGCAAGCTGCTAGCAGTTGGCACTTCAATAAATAGCTTGTCTGTTTAACATTCTAGTTGTCAAGAGTATTTTTCCAAATCTTCATTTTTAAATATATATCACATTTCTTTCATTCTAAGATGCTCTTTTCTCTCTTTTAAATACCTCTAAAAGGGGGGTTCACATTAGAATCATGCATTTATATATATATATATATATATATATATATATATATATATATATATTAGGGCTGGGCGGTTTCGTTTCGTTAATTCGTAATTCGTTAATTTTTTCAATTACAAAACGATAACGAACCATTCTGGAGCAATTATTTAAAAAAACGAATTTTCAAAAACGTTTCGTAAATGCTTCGTATTTCGATATTGTATTCGTTTCGTTATTGTTTTGAGGTCGTTTCGTTATTATTTCCGCATGTCTGGGCCAGTTTTATGGTTTAATTAGTGAAAAAAAATTATAATATCACACCAACAGTCAACAACAGAGGGAGAGGGAAGCTTCAGAAGGTTTTGGAGGTTTTTTAGCGTATTTCGCGGTCGCGTCCGCCATTAACGAATCGATTCGTTATTGTTTCGGAAATCGATTCGTTAATTTTTTACCATTTACGAAATTTCGTAAATATCGAACTTTTTAAAAGGAAAATTTTGTAATTATTGTAAATATCGAAACAAAAAAAACCCCCAAATACAAATCGATTTTAGAAACAAATTTTTCCGTTGTTACCCAGGCCTAATATATATATATATATATAGCTTTGTTGTTGGTGGTACTGAAATTAGTGTGAAATTGCATCTTATTTTCTGCATGTGGCCATAACATACATTCAGTTAAATTCTATTCTCTATCATGAAATTTTCCCATTGTGCAATACATCCTTAAAAACAAACCTATTTTACGTAGAAAATTAAAATAGGACGGGACGGGGGGAATAGCCATTGTTCTTCAGTGTTTGCATTATTTTTGTATGATTAGTATACTTCAGCATTTGATGTAAATAACATGCTTTATTCTGGTACATTCAGAAGTCTAAATAAATGTTGTGTTTGCTTTTGTACAGTCTCACACAATTTTGCTTGTTCAGCCTACCAAACGACCAGAAGGCAGAACTTACGCTGATTATGAATCTGTGAATGAGTGCATGGAAGGTAATATTCCTGTTGTAGATTACTTGATGCTAAATCAATGTTAAAAGTTGGGGATTCCTTTTAAACCTGGCCAGTTAAGCCAATAACTGAAGAAGCAATTATTGGCTCTTGCGTGGTTGTGTGTATTATTTTGGAGATGTCGCAATGACTCCTCTGACTGAATCAGATCTTTTTGAATATAGTGTATCTAGGATGCAGTATGCTACTTTGCTTGAATAAGGATTTTTCTATTAGAGCCTGATATCATGTGTCAATTTTTACCCAATCAGAAGATATGAGAAAGTTTATAATTTTAATAAGAATAATAAATTGATACATGGAGGTGCTAACACTGTTAAAGTATTTGGTCAAGTCTAGTGCCACAGAGAGGAAAAACACTTTGAAAGCCAAAGTTAAAATCTTCAGATTCAATTTGTACTTCAGTGTTTGAATTTTTTTACTTCTGCAGAATAATTTATTTGTAAATTTATCTACATGAAAGCTTAATTTGCTAACATTCAATTGATCAGATGTCATTTGCTTGGATGCGCACTGATTCTCTTTTCTTATATTTGACATCTAGATTTTCAGTAGCAGTGTGGGGTTTCATGAATGCCTCTTGTAGATACTGGATATTCTTTTTTCTTAGGAGTTTGCAAAATGTATGAAGAACATTTGAAGAGAATGAATCCAAACAGCCCTTCAATCACATATGATATTAGCCAATTATTTGATTTTATTGATGATTTGGCTGACCTCAGCTGCCTTGTGTGAGTATTTTATACTTTTAACTTCTATAAATATATATCTTCTCTTGCTTAGACATATATGGTTGCATTTGTATAGAGTTTTGTTGCTGTGTGCCTTCAAGTCATTTCTGGGTTATGGCACTTCTAAAGCAAACTTCTCATGGGTTTTCCTGGCAAGATTTATTAAAAGGAAATACCTCATTGCTTTTCTCTGAGACTGGAAGTACCTTGTATAGTCATGTATAAGTATAGAAATCTTGTCCAGTGGGTTTCTGTAGCTGAGTAGATATTCAAATTCTGGTGTCCCAGAGTCCTAGTTTATTTATTTATTTACTATATTTCTACCCCTCTCTGTCTCACCCTGATGGGGACTCAGAGCGGCTTACATTTTTGGCAATTTCAATGTCACATTGCTAATACAAATATATAAATTCATCACCTTAAGAAACAAAACAGATAAAACATATTAATACAATTAAAACGGTTAAAACATAGCCCTAGTCCTTAGTCGTCATTCATGCTGCTACATTTATGTAATAATAATAAACTTTATTTGTACCCCACTCCATCTCCCCGATGGGGACTCGGTGCGGCTTACATGAGGTCAAGCCCAAAACAACAATTACATGAAATAAAACAAAACCGAAAATGCAAATAATAAACAATAATAACGCAATTACATAAAACAAAAGAAAACATAGCAATATAACATTACAATAAACACAATCACAATAACATGGGCGAGCTACATGTAATGGATAAAAGAAAACTGGGCAGAAACAGATTAAAAACTCAGGCAAGATAAACAAGGACAGATTATTTGCGGAGGAGAGCGTGTTTTAGTGGAGGTCATAAAGCAAAACTTTCCTATAGGGGGGAATGCACTCCAATAGCAGAACCGTTTCTGTATTGCATTATTCTCCAAATGCCTGGTCCCATAGCCAGGTCTTAACTTTTTTCCTGAAAACCAGGAGGGAGAGGGGTAATCTAGTATCACTGGGGAGAGAGCTTCACAGCCCCTAGTTCAATATTAAAAGCTCTATTATTTATTTATTTTATTTACCATATTTATATCCCATCTTTCTCACCCTGGAGGGGACTCAAGGCGGCCTTACAACAGGCAGCAATTCGATGCCATACATACCAGTATCAAATAAACAATTACAAGTAAAACATGAATTATTAAAACAATTAAAATCACCCCATCCAAAACATAATCAATTTATCAATCACATTGATTTTTTATCACTTATTGCACTGCACCAAAAACTTGGTCCTACAGCCACGTCTAAAGTTTTTTCCTGAAGGTCAGGAGAGAAGGGGCTGATCTAATTATCACATTGGCTCTCATACAGTCAGTGGGTTTTTAATACACTTTCTTCAGTAACTGTTGTTAAAATAGTGCTTGGATTGTATGTTTAGTGCATTGTGAAAGCTCGGTTGATATTTATTGTGCATGTGGCCTTCACATATAAAATGCTGCAGCATTGGAGAAACTTTATGCCATTTATATTTAACTCTTTAATTAACATTAAGACATGGAGCCTAAAGCCTGTGTCTTAATGTATTAGGAATACACTATACTGCCGAAAACCATATGGGTGGTTTTCATGGGTTTGGAGATAATTAAGAAACACTTTATAATTAATGTCTGAATACAGCAATTTCAGTAGTCTATGAATTTGATCCCTCAGGAATTCGGGAATATTTGAAAGCGAGAGTCTCGTGAGAAGTAACTGTTTCTCTACAAATACATATTGCATTTATCTAATGGCTTTGAGAAAAGAGTTTAATAGTAAAATGACACCATATCCATATTGCTAAGTAGATTACTGCTCAACCCTTTGAAAACATTAGTCACTTATAATGATTACATGGATGGCAATTGAGAGGGGGGAGATAATTACTGTGTGCAAAACAACATTGCTGGAGGAGGGGTAGTTCCATAGTGTGCATATGACCCCTTCAGATTATTTTGCAGACACCACATCTTGTAATACCCCCTCCCCCCATTTTTTAAACCCTAGAAAATAAAGAAGTATAACAATATGTAGATTACTAACATTTATTTTAGATTGCTCAAAGAGAGGAGAGCAATAAACTTAAGTGTAGCAAAAATACAAGAAGGTCTAACTTGTCAGAATGATAACAATGCTAGTTCACCCCTCATGTGCAGAAGGAAGAGCATTCTATGGCCATACAGCATATGGCTTTTCCCTGGCACTGTGATCCTGATTTCTCCTAATGGAGACAAAGACAAAGTACTTGGATAGACAAAGTACCTCCTCATGGATACAGTTTAAGAACCCTTCATAAGTGTTGGCTCTATAAACTTCAGTCATCCTCATTAAGGAAGACTGCAACCAATTCAGAGTTGGCATGGCTACACCTGCCATCTACTCAGTGGCATTACTTCTGTGTATATGGATTAAACTAACCATGATCTAGCTTGTTAGCGCTAGGTTCTAGTTCAATATTTTCACTATCTTATCTAATTGTTTTGGATTATATTGTTAAGGGTTGACTCTATAGGCTATGGTTTAAGGGAATTGCAATTTGAAACATCTGCTGAGGCTGGATCTACTTAAGCACAATAACACATTTACAGCAGGCCAGTAGTTACAATTCTCTGGGAGTGGGACAATCTTTTAAAACTAGACTGGGAACTACCTGCCTTCTTTTAATAGTGCAAATTACATTTAACATCCAGTTAGCTATCCTACACCTCTCCTCACTCAGTATAATCAATCAAGAAAATAAAGCGTTGAGCACACATTTGTTATGTACCCTGTGTACATCAATATGTTAGAATGAAAGGTTTACATAAACTCTAGATATTCATATTGAATTAGACTTTAGGAGGCCACAAGAGGGCATACTTGGAACATAACGTTTTGTTTGTGTCTAATGTCTATGATGATTAAAATCATTGTTCTGGTACAGCCCTTATATGGCTTGCAATCAAGGTTATTCGATTCATGACATATTAGCAGTTCATGACTGAATCAAAACTGTTAGAAATATAAAGATCACCATATTGGCTTCCTGCTTTTATACTGTTCATTGCAGCTTCAGGTATATAAATGTACTATACATTTGAGATTAATTTTATCATTTCTGTGCCAAGGTTTGCTTACTGCATTCACTGTTTCAGAAACATATGATTAACGACATTAGGATCCAAGTGAATATAATTTAGCTCCTGGGATTTAGCCCATCTGCTCCCGGGCAACATGAGTCTTGCTGTTTGATCCCTGGGCATTGCTATCTGCTTCTAGAATTATAGTGAGTATTTTTATGGAGATTATAATATTTTCCTTCTGGTTTCTGGAAGAAAGACCACAGTGGTATTAATATATTTGGCCAGCTGATATCGTTTTAGTTCTATATATTATGCAGTGGGCCCTTGGTATACATTGGAGTTTGGTTCCAGGACYCCCCCCCCCCCCCCAATGGATACTAGAATCTAGTAAAAGGGTGCCCTTTATATAAAAAAGCAAAATCAAGGTTTTCTTTTTGAACATTTGTTTTTAAAAAATCAACCCTGTGGATGGAGAATGTGTGGATATGGAAGATCATCTGTATTCTTAAAGAACTTGATTCAACAAACTGAATGTGAAGTTAGTCTTCATTATCATCTATGGAGCACAAAAGTGAGCCCTTGAATACCATGCACAGAGAAAAGACTGAGTTGGATTGAAACACTTATCTTTTTCCTTGCATTTTGACTCCTAGCACACAAGGGCCATACTGTTTGTAAACTTGTATTCTCTATTCCAAGCTGTTGAGGCATATTGGCTCTGAGAAGTTGCTTTGAAGATGCACAGTGAAATGCATAATGCAGTATGATGAAAGTCTATACAATATTAATTGGCCTGTTCTTTCCCCCACCAGTTATCGTGCTGATACTCAGACATACCAACCCTACAATAAAGACTGGATAAAGGAGAAGATCTATGTCCTTCTCCGCAGACAAGCTCAGCAAGCAAGCAAATAATGAGCCAGGATGGCTATGGGGGTTTTGAGGGAGGGGTTTGGAACAACAGGTGTGTACAGCATTCTGTAGTGAAAGTTTTGTATTGTAGGCCTCCTGGTCATTGTTGTTAGTCTGTATCTGAGGCGATTAGAATTTCAAGATTGCTCAGTTTGAATTTTAAATAAAAACATACATTCTTTGAGTATTTAGTTTAATTGTTCTCTTTGTTTAGGCAAATTATTTTTTTTAACTCCCCCAAGATTGTCCATTTATGTTTTACCACAATCACTGTGTGTACCTCTTTCCTAGGGGGAATCTTCATTGTTGTTATTTGGAGGCAATATGTCATAGTACAGAATAAAATAAATGCTCTTTAGTTAATTGTGTTGAGTGGTGGATTTATACATTTTATAAACAAAACATGCCCAGTTTATCGCAAAAATAACTTGATGGCCTCAGTATTGATAGATTTATGAAAGATCTTGAGTGGCCACATCACATCATTTTAATATCCTGGAGCATTTTTTTCTTCACAACAGTGACTACAGTGTAGTCCACCTATCAGTGCTTTTTAGTATATTTACAGCCATTGCTTTATAAGTAATTAGGAAAGATGGGATAGAAATATTGTGTCCATGGCAGTCATCTAAAGCAGAAATAGTAATTACCGTTGCCCCGCATAGCATGCATATAAGTAGAATGCATTAGGGAAATAATCCTGACAGTAAGAGTTGCTTAACAGTGTAATATCCTGTCTTGGAGTTTGAGGGATTTTCCTTCTCTGAAGGTTTTAAACAGAAGATGGATGTCCATCTTTTGGGAGTGCTCTGATTACATATTCTTGCATGGCAGGGGTTTGTACTGGATGGCCCTTAAGGTTTTGGCTGAATAGATAATGTAAACCATAAATACAAGTTATGTTTTGCATAGACATCCTCATAAACAGGAGGGTTATCTCTACTTGCTTGAGAAAACTGCAGAAACAGGAAAAGGCACTGGTTGTTCTTGCAGTTGTCGTGCCAGTTGTTACCGTTCTCAAGAGTCCTCTGAACTTCTAAGCAGCTTTTGTAGACATGGGGCTGCAGAGTGAAGGAGGAATTAATAAAAAAATAACTGCTCTGTTTCATCTAGTACATGTAAAATGCTTCAAAATGCACCTCTGGAGTCAACTCTAGATTCAAGAGCTGTTTGAGTAGAGTAACAGCTACTTCTCCATCATTCATGCAGCATGATTGCAAAAGGTAACAATTTTGTCATGGCTAGCTGCTCAAAATGTTCGGCACTTCTAGATTAATAAACATTAGTGGTCTTTTAGACATGTCAGGTTTCATTGAAAAAGATGGTAGGGCTCAAAGTAAAGAGCAGTAGAAAAAGTGAAAGACCACATGCTATGGAATCATGGGAATTGTACTTTTACAAGGCTTTTAGCCTCTGCCAAATAGTGTTCGTGCCTCATCAAACTGCAGCTCCCATGATTCCACAGCATTGATCCAATTACAGTTAAAGCGTCAACATTCATTAATTCTACAGGGTAGATGCATCCTTAGTCGAGGAAGCAACGGCCCAATTTTTCAAGCTCTGAGCAAGGCTGTTTAATTAGGTGTCTTGGAGATCTCAATAGGGTAACCCTAAGTCTTACCTAATTTGATTTAGTGGGTAATTTGTTACTTCAAAGCTACATGTAACCTTTATTTATTTTTCATGAGTATTGAATGGGAATATGTGCAACCCATTATTCATATTTATTTTAACTACTTTGGTTAGAAATTATGCTTTAACAAAGGCCTGCCAGCAGCAAAGAGAATTGATTCCTGCATTGATTGTCTACTGGGGTACATGGTGTTCCTAGGGAAGAATGGGTTCCCAGCCCATTTAGGTCACTGGGGATCCACACTGGAGAGTGTTTGGGGAAGTTCACTCTTCAAGGTACAGACTGTCCTCTGCTACGTAAAAGGGCTGAGATCCCTTATCTAGAATGCTTGGGTTTGCATTAGATATCTCTTGGAGATGGGACCCAAATAAATATGAAATACATATAGGATTCCTATGCCCCTTATACACAAAGCCTGGAGGTAATCTTATGCACAGTATTTTTAATAATTTTGCATGAACAAAATTAAACCATCAGAAAGCAAACATATCACTGTATCACCCACCCATGTTGACGATTTGGAGCATTTCAAATTTCCGGGTGAGAGATGGCCAACCTGTATGTTCATCCCAATGCTAGGTCAGTGTTGCTTCATTTCTATGCCTTTCATACTGTGTTCAGTAGCCTGGATCACAGCCATTGCCTCAGATCTCTTAACAAGTGGACTGCTTTAAAGTCTAATTTAAAAAGAACAGCTGCCAATTCACTTAGAGGAACTGCACAGAAGATCAGAGTTTTTCAAGTTCAAAGTGTTGTGTGGGTTTTGTAAATAGGTGCACTCATTGAAAAGCTATAAAACAAATTGTCTCTGAAAGAATTGGGTATGCCGCTTACAATTGCAGCATTTATAGCTGCTGGCTGATTATGTTACTGTTCTGGTGCAAATGTCTGTGACAGAGTTCCAGAATACCATTGAACAAATACGAACAAAACAAACACTTCATTGAAATCACCCTATAGAAGACTAAGAATGTCAACAAAATAACTGTTGGATCTACCATTTCAGTTAAGGAGACCAATTTCCACCAACCAGACATCAGCATTTTTTGCTTTGATGCTCCTCTTGAAGGTCAAAACCACAGCAAAGTCTTGTTTGTAATTTTCATATCAAGGACATAACTTAGGAAAGGTCCTTTTTTGAGGGGCCAATTCCCAATATGCCCTTAGCAACTCGCCCCATGGTTATTCTATATCCTTGATCTGTTTCAGTTTGGTAGAAACTCTGTCATTCCAGCATGTTCAGCTTCAGTATCTCACAGCTTTCTTTAGTTGCTACAAACTCAATTAACTCAGGCCCCTTCTTCACTGTTCCTATATCACATTATCTGATCCCAGATTATCTGCTTATACCAGATTATATGGCAGTGGAGACTCCTATATTCCAGTTCAAAGCAGATAACCTGGTATCAGATTCTAGGATATAGTCAGTTTAGAAAGGGCCTCAGTAGGGAAAAGGTAGGAGGAGATTGACCTTTGTGCTTCCCAATGAACTCAGATAAAGGCCTGCTATAGCCTCCTTGGCTCGTGTGCTCTTCCAAGTGAATCGCTTTTGCTGTCTTGCATATAACCTGATGTAATTTGGTCACATATGTCCCAGTTCTTGTCTGTGAAATATTGTGTGCAACTTAAATGCCCTAAAGCAGAGTTTCTTAAACTGGGCTCCTCCAGATGTTTTGGACGCCAGCTCCCACAATTCTTAACAGCAGTTAAGCTGTCTGGGATTTCTGAGAGCTAAAGTAATGTCATGTGTGTTTTATTGATTTGTTTTCATGTTTAGTTACGCTAAACTGTTGTTTTAATTACCTGCATTTAATTCTTTATGTATTTGTATTTCCACTGTGCTGACGATCGTGCCATCACAGCTCAAGCTTTGAAATGCTTGAACAGAAGCTCTCCGAAGCTTTTGGTACTCTTACTGCTTATTACAGGGAAAACCAGCTGATTGCTAATCCAGCTGAAACACAGACGTTTGCTTTTCACCTTAAGAACAGACAAGCATCTCGAACTCTGAGGATTACCTGGGGAAGAATCCCACTGGGTCATTGCAGCACACCAAAATACCTGAGAGTTACTCTGGACCGTGCTCTCACTTACAAGAAGCACTGTGAAAATATCAAGCAAAAAGTGAGTGCTAGAAATAATACCATACAAAAGCTGCCTGGTACAACCTGGGGATCACAACCAGACCCAGGGAAGACATCTGCCCTTGTGCTTTACTGCTCTGCTGCTGAATACGCATGCCCAGTGTGGAAAACATCTCACCACACTAAAACTGGATGTGGCTCTTAATGAGATATGCTGCATTATCACAGGATGTCTACACCCTACACTCTGGAGAAATTACACTATTTAGCCAGTATTGCACCACCTGACAGGCCCATAGCCAGGATACTCACAGGAACACCTTAATAAACCCAGAACCACAATCAGTGGCTGAGACCAAATGAAAAGCTCCTTCCTGGGCACACAAGAGTGGGCAACCTGGAAGGTGCTGCATGGACTGCGCTCTAACACCATGAGATGCAGAGTCAATCTTAAGAAATGGGGCTACAAGTGGAGTCCATGACGTGCCAATGTGGAGAAGAGCGAACTACAGACCATCTACTGCAATGATGTCTGAGTCACGCCACATGCACAATGGAGGACCTTATCGCAGTGACACCAGAGGCACTCCAGGAGGCCAGCTTCTGGTCAAAGGACTTTAGTATAATGCCTAGTTTTTAACTTTATTTGTGTGGTTGTTTGTTTGTTTGGTGCATTATAACGGTATTCTCAATTCGCTTCTAACACGATAAATAAATAAATTTTCACTGTGTCTTGCATGGTATCAAATGGCTACCATTTATATTGTAAGCTGCCCTGAGTCTCCAAGGGGAAATGGGAAAGGATATGTCGTCTGTGCGCATTCAGAAGAAGATCTAAAGCCACTCTAAACACCTTCGCAGAAGCATACGATAAGCTCAGCCTGTCACTGAACATTGAGAAAACCAAGGTGCTGTTCCAGCAGTCACCAGCCAATCCCTCTCCAATGCCAGTAATACAGCTTAATGGTGTAACATTAGAAAATGTGGACCATTTCCGCTACCTTGGCAGCCACCTCTCCACCAAAGTCAACATCGACGCCGAAATACAACACCGCCTGAGCTCTGCAAGTGCAGCATTTTCCAGAATGAAGCAGAGAGTGTTTGAGGACCGGGACATCCGTAGGGAGACCAAGGTGCTTGTCTATAAAGCTATTGTCCTCCCAACCCTGCTCTATGCCTGTGAGACGTGGACTGTCTACAGACGTCACATGCAACTCCTTGAACGATTCCATCAGTGCTACCTCCGGAAAATCCTGCAAATCTCCTGGGAGGACAACCGGACAAACGTCAGTGTGCTGGAAGAAGCAAAGACCACCAGCATTGAAGCGATGGTCTCCAACATCAACTCCGCTGGGCCGGCCACGTTGTCCGGATGCCTGACAACCGTCTCCCAAAGCAGTTGCTCTACTCCGAACTTAAGAACTGAAAACGAAACGTTGGTGGACAGGAAAAGAGATTTAAAGATGGGCTCAAAGCCAACCTTAAAAACTCTGGCATAGACACTGAGAACTGGGAAGCCCTGGCCCTTGAGCGCTCCAGCTGGAGGACAGCTGTGACCAGCAGTGCTGCAGAATTTGAGGAGGCACGAGTGGAGGGTGAAAGAGAGAAACGTGCCAGGAGGAAGGCGTGTCAAGCCAACCC